ATAGACCATATAAATTAGAAATGGAAAGGTTGACAGTTGAAATTGAAAGAATTAGAACTTAAGCATGAACTTGAAATGATGATAAAAATGATTCTGGTAAGAGCGTAGATATATATTTCAATGTAAGAGCGAAAATGCCCAAAATTCCACCGTTTGATGAAAGGCATGATGAAATTAACAAGTTATCTTCGTCGATTTGAAAGGTATGCGACTAGTCAAAATTGGGACAAGAAAACGTGGGCTACAAGTCTTAGTGCTTTCTTACGCGGGAGAGCTTTAGATGTGTACGCATTGATGTCTCCAGCAAAAGCCCAAGACTACGATGAACTGAAGTCAGCTCTTCTTCGTAGATACGATATGACGGAAGATGGGTTTCAGAGGAAGTTAAGATCCAGCAAACCTGAACCAGGTGAAATGTTCACGCAATTTACGGCAAGATTAGGGTCATATTTGACAAATGGATTGAGATGTCCAAGATACCTAGGACAGTAGATTGCTTATTTGATCTGACTTCACGCGACCAAATCCTACACGTTTGCAATCTAGAATTAAAAACCTTTTTGAGACAAAACGAAAAAAAAAAAAAAAAAAAAAACAGCAGACGAGATGTGTAAACTTGCAGATCAGTTTTTAGAGTCTAGGAAAACTAGAAATATGTCCATAGGACATGAATTCCCCGCCAAGGATATATTAGTAATGCAACATGAAAATTTGTATTAGTGTATGAAATTTGATGAGAATATCTTGAATAGTTTCTTTAAAATTGAAATTGAAATCTAAAAAGTTGGATATAAATGATAAATTCTCACCAAATTATGTATAAGTGCATAAGCTTATATAAATATATCTTAAATGGTTTCTTTAAAATTAAGCAAAATGCAAATTTAAGAAAAGTGAGGTCAAGGTCACATGAAACTTCAAGGTCAAACGTTTTTGATGCAGTTGAATAGTTCTCACAAATGCGTATCAGCATATTAAGTTTGATAAAAATATTTTGAATGGTTTATTTAAAACTGAGCTAAATACTAATTTAAAATAAATGAAGTTAAAGTCAAAGGAAAGGTCAGGCCAAAAAAATGTTGATGCAGTTGAAAAGGTTACATCAGTGTGTATTAGCATATGAAGTTTGATAAAAATATTATGAATGGTTTCTTTAAAACTGAATAAAACACAAATTGAGAAAAGTGGGGTCAGGTCAAAGGAAAGGTCATGGTCAAAAAATATTGATGCAGTTGAATAGCTTACATCAGTATGTATCAGCATATGACGTTTGACACTAATTAAAGAAAAGTGAGGTCAAGGTCAAAGGAGAGTTCAATGTCAAAAAAATGTTGATGCTGTTGAATAGCTCTCATCAGTATGTATCAGCATATGAAGTTTAATAACACTATATTGAATGGTTTTCTTTAAAACTGAGCTAAACACTAATTTAAGAAAAGTGAGGTCAAGTTCAAAGGAAAGGTTAAGGTCAAAAATATTGAGGCAGTTGAATACTCTTATCAGTACGTATCAGCATATGAAGTTTGACAAAAAATATCTTGAACGATTTCATTAAAACTTAGCTAAACACTAATTTCTGAAAAGTGATGTCAAGGTAAAAAGGAAAGGTCAAGGTCAAAAATGTTGATGCAGTTGAATAGCTTACATCAGTATGTATAAACATATGAAGTTTGATTACACTATCTTGAATGGTATCTTTAAACCTGAGCTAAACACTAATTTAAGAAAAATGAGGTCAAGGTCAAAGGAAAGGTCAAGGTCAAATATCTATCAGCATATGAAATTTGATAAAAATATGTTGTATAGTTTCTGAGAAACGGAGCTTTGAATAGAGCTAAACGCAAAGTGTGACGGAAGGACGGAAGACGGACATGACAAACACTATATGCCCCGGCCATATTCATGGCGGGGCATAACAAATGCGTTACATCTGTGCGAAAAACTTTTGAGGAAGCAACCGACTGTTGAAGTTACAAAAGGTAAGGATACTTATAAACCCCAGCATCCAGAAAAATCGAAGGTGTTCGAACCAATATCGGAGCGTAAGTGTTACATATTTGATAAGAAAAGACACATAGCACCTAATTGTCCAACGAAAGGAAAAGGCAAGTTTTCTGGAGCTGTTCTCGAAAGTTCAGACGACGACGACAAGAAATCAGGTATAGTCAATTGTAGTACATCACTTGAAATGCTGATGAGACTATGATTCTTAGTTCAGTTTGCCACAGCAAAAGTCAGCAGTTACCCTTGTCAGCAGGATATGTTAATGGACGCAGGTTGTAAGGACATTGTGGTAAGAAAGAGTTTAGATGGCCAGTTTACCGGAGAGCACGTCATGTACTTGTGTTCTTGCTGATAGTACCAAAAGAGTTGTTCCTGTTGTAAACATAGATATCGATTCTCCATACCTGACAGGTCATTAATATGAAGTCTGGTGCATGGGCAGTCTAGTATTTTACCTCATCATTTGTGAAGTTAATGACGCAGGAAGGCCATATGATCCAAATCCAGAACCCAGAGGCAGTAATCGTTGTGAAAAATCTGTGACAAACAACAAAATGAAAGCAAATCTAGAAAAAATTCAGACACTTTGAACAGAAAATAAAACCTGTATAGAAAATATTACAATCAACTTGGATGGAATTGATATAAAATGAAAAGAAAGAAGTTAAGCTGATGGGTGTGACAATTGATAGCCAACTAAAATTGTATTCTCATATTTCAAAAATATGCAAAAAGACAGCAACACAGCTTAATGTACTAAACCCATAGGTAAACACCTAGCCAAACGGGGGAAATTAACCATTTGTTATTCTTTTATTATGAGTAATTTTAATTACTGTCCTGTAATGTGGCATTTTTGTGGAGAAAATAACAAGAACAAATGAAAAAATTCAAGAAAGGGCTATCATATTTATTCATGATGATGAAAACAGTACTTAAGAAGATTTATTAATGAAGTCAGGTCTACCAACCTTAAAAATTAGAAGATTAAGAACAATGTCTAGGAAATCTTTTTAAATTTAAAAAAAAAGAAAGCCCAGTTTATCTGCTTGATTTATTCACTTTCAAAGAAACATCATATAATTATAGAAAAATCAACATGTACAGTACAGGTATCTAGGTAAGAATAACTATAAACATGGATTACACTCTTTTTTATAAATGCAGGAGCCAAACTGTGGAATGAACTTCCAGAAGATATTAGAAATGTATCAACAATAAATCAATTCAAAATTCTTATAAATAACTGGAGTGGAGATTCCCTACAAGTGTGGCTCCTGCAGATCATAAATTCTAGTTTTCATATTCAGTTACTTTTTTTAGTTTTCAAATTCAGTTACTTTTCTTTTTAGTTTTCAAATTTTTCCTACTTCTGTTTTTATGTTCAGTATGTTTGTTCATTTTAAAACTAAATATACCATAAATCTATTATCAAACAATAATATTTTAATTTAGCCAAAGAGCTATCTTATCTTTTAATATAACAAAATTAAAGTATAGATAATCCTTTTAGACAGTATAATTGCTACATTAATACTCTGATATTAATTCAAAGCATTTTACAGTAGAAAAGGATTTACCAAGAGAAAGTTTCAAAAATGTAATTAACTAAGCAGTAATTAATTAACAGAAATTGCATTGAAGTCTATGGAGACAAGCGATTTTTTAAAACTAAAAATTAAAATAATAAGATATAAATAAATACTGTGGTGGAAAGATGCATTAAATCATTAGAAATAGAATGACAATTGAAAAAAAAATTACCGTATAGATTTTTTTAAAATTGATTTTTAATACTTAAAAAAAGGAGGGAGGTAACTCTTCATCAAAGGTCAAGGTCATAAATTAGGACACGTTCCATTCTTATATGCTTATAGTAATAAATGGGAATTATGTCTAAATATACTGAGTTTTCCACCCGTACACATCTGTAATGTATTTTGAATCTGAGGCTATTAGGTATGGAATACCTTAAACTATGACTCATGGTCAGTGCACAATCTTTACACAATGACGCTTTTTATTTTAAGGTCAAAATATAGTAAATGGCTTTAGACTAATATTTTGGTGCAAGATCCATTATGACGTCATAATCAATTTCAACTTTCTTTTTCCCGTACTTTACGGCTTTAATATAGGATAAGGTAGAAAATAAAGTATTTTCGAGGAATTCAATTTGAAATCATGTGAAAAGTAATCCCGATACCTATATTCAATTTAATATTATTTTATAGAAGAGACCAAGAATATACAAATAAACTTTCTGAGAGACTCTAGGCAATCTGGATACATTTCCGTTGTCTGATATGGAAAAAACTCCCGTATTCATGACTGGTTTTCTTAATTTTTCATTGAAAATGACAGTTTAAAATATGATTTTTTTGTCTTGTTTACCTACAAATTATGCCACGAATCACCTTATTTGACCAAGCTAAAGTTACAAAGCATCATTAAAGGAATTTATTTCTCAGATTTGAGAAACATGTAGGCACCTTTCATTTACTGGATCTTGACCTTAAGTAGAGATGGGCCAGACATATTTGATCATAGGAGAAAATTTGCTATGGACAAGATTTTACATAAGACTTATTTTGATTTAAAACGTTTATCAAGAAACTTAAATCAAAGTCACAGGACGCCCTCTGCTCGTGATGGGCACTCTGTGGGTAAATAACGTTTCAAAGGGACAGGGGGATGGAATAATTATATACTCCAGACAAATAAAATCGGAGGGAACAGGAACAGACGTACTAATCACTTTAGGATTCTGAGTAAAAACACAATTTTACCACCATTAACAAAAATTAAATATCACATAATGGACGGAAATCAAGTGATGCATGTCTAAATATGGCTCGTTTTCATGTTAGTTGTGTACACGTTCAAGTATCTCAAAAAACGACAATGAAGATTAATAAAAATACATGCATAATAAATAAAATAAATAGACATTCATCAATACATAGGAAATTCAAAAAAAAAAAAAATATTGCTTATCTTTTAATGACCTTCATTCAAGTCATATTGTGTCTTTCATTTCGATTTGAAACTTTCCTTAGAACAATTCTGACATTTTCGTCAGTATGTTAGAGAAAAGAGTACCTTCCTTTAGAGTTTGTACGTCAGAATCTTCTGTGTTGCCACAAGACTCGGTGGGAAGAATCAACTCTTTGCAAATCTGTAAATCATGTTCATTTCCTTCTGTATTAATTACCAGTGTTTTTGTGCGATATTTACGAAGTATCATCTCAATCGCCAAATCTACAAAGTCTGACATATTATCAGGATTGTTTATACTTCCGGTTTCATGAAATAGCACTAAAATGCAACGACAGTCTGACATTGCTTTCTTCACGTAAGTCATTTCGGGACGAAATGGAAGACAGTCGTTGCTGTTTACAGCTACACGTAACTGAACAAATGATTGTAGAGTGGACGTGATCAGTTTTAGCTGCTGACAACCATTGCTCTCACCACAGCTGTGTAGTATGAATATATCCGATGATTTTGCATCGTCTTCCAGACAGCTTGAGGACGAAGACAGATTAGGAAATATGGTTTGATAGGCCTTCAGAAGTCTTATTTTTCCCATTTCAAAATCGTGTTTCTCCATTGAATCTTTTGCCCCTTTAATATATGTATCCACATAAATTGATCTTTCAAAAACATCCAGATCACCAGTACACTGCAACAACGACAAAGTGCAAATAGCGTTTTCGAAGTCTTTTATTTCTATATAATTTTGTATAAGTTTTTTCACGGTTGCTTTATCGTAAGGTCCTATTTCAATCAACCTCTTGATGAATTTAATGGACTCTACAGGAAATTGAAGAAGTTCGTGTAATTTTGCTAATTCTTTAAGATTTTTTGGAGATTCGCTTCTTTCCAGCAACAAGCTTTTCAGTGTTGGGAAACACTGGTTCGATGTTTGTATCTTTGGTATCGCTCTAATTACGCCTGACATCACTGAGACTGCCTTCCACATGCTTTGTTCTGCATCGTATTGAAGTTCTTCCTGTTTCCCCGGGTCAGTTTCTTTTGATTTCATTTCTAACTTGCAAAATCCCTGTTGTTCAAATGCATTTATAAGAGTCATTTTGTATTCAGATGGTTTTCCACAATTATCAGATGTAATAAAAGAAAAACAGTTCATTGCATCTTTGGTCTTGTCCAACATTCGGTATATTAGTCCTAATTCATAACGAGCAACGTTAAAATCTTTATCCATTTCTAGAGCTTTTTCAAGATGTTCCACAGCTTTTATTAATAGTGGATTGCCAGGAGAATGACAGACAGAATTGGGCGATTTCCTCATTGCATTAAAAGCACGTGTTTGATGTACAGGATCTGACTGGGATCGAAAAAATGGTGTATTCGTTCTTTGCTGATATCTAGGAGCATTACCTATATCCCACTGTGCATTTCCTTCAGGTCTCCTAGTCCCTGCTGATCTTCTTACAAATGGTCTGGATCTCTGATATCTGTGGGAAGTGTGGTCTTTCCAGTACATTGAGCTTTTCTCGACTGCTGGATGACTAATGGACAATGATGAGAGCTGATTTGTCATGCTGGAAATACCATTGTCATATTGTTCTCTCGCCGAATTGTATTGCCTATTCTCTATTGATTGATGACTCATTGACAACGAAAGCTGATTTGACATGCTAGAAATACCACTGTCATAATGTTCTCTCCCCGAAACTTGTTGCCTATCTTCGGTAGAGAAGGAATGATTCAAATTTCTTCTGCATTTTTGCTTTGATATGTCTCTTTCAACAATCTTTTTTAGTGTTATTGCTAAATGATGTCTCGAGAAAGGCATATCTTGCATATGTATTGCTTTCTCTAACATCTCTCTCGATTTTTCCAACTCCCACCAATATCTAAGTTGTTGTCCATAGGACTGAAGAACAAAATAGTGATTGGGACACAATTGCAATGCTTTCTCAAAACACAAGTTCTGGTTAATTTTCATTGTGTCTGTTTTGTCGATGTTAACTATATCAAATAAATTTTCATTTTTCGTTAAGATAGAGCCTAGCCGACACCATGCTTTTCCTATTATCTGGCAATATTCGAGTAAACAGCCCGACTGTGTACACTTTACAATTGCATACAACATACTAGCTGATTCTTTCTTTTTGTCGCCAGGATTGAATTTTTCAGGATCTGTCATCTGAAACATATGAGACTGTCTTTGTAAAGTTAGAGCAAGTCCAAATTCCCAGAGAATATTTCTATTTGGTTTCATATCTTCTATTGCTTTTCGGAATAATTGGACAGCTTGATCGTGATGTCGTGGACCAAATCTTGAGTAAAAGTATGCAATCTCTGCAACTGCCCGGGTTTGGGTTCCTTTTTCTTTTAAGTGTGTTTCAAAGTTGTCCGATAATTTACGAAACTGGCAATACTCACCGACTTCTTGGTGAAATAGAATTTCATTACACAGAGTAATTAAGCTACGGCTTTCGTTAACTTCTTGTGCTTTTTTTATTGCTTCAAAGGCTTTCTCTCTTTCACCCAACCTCCAGTGGAGATAAGATATTAAATTTATTGCTCTGGCCTTTTCTTCTTTTAAATCAAACCCAGCATCCAAGTCTTTCTGTAAAAGATGCAGCTTTTTCTTTGTCTTTTCGTTGCTGTCGATTACATCATCCAATACAAAAGATGACCACTTCCTTATCTCTTCCATCTTCCTCTCTTCATCTTCGTCATCCATTGTTTAACCTAACGAATTTCTGTTGGAATAGAGAAACATTCATTAATTTAAAATATATTAATGCATTCAGTGATTTTATTTTTCTATTATTATTATCATCAAATTATCATAACTACTACAGTTAAAATTTAATTTTTGAAAAAAAAATCTCTCAAACTGGATTTTTCATACAGGAAGTCACATGCATAGTGTCGGTACGCATTATCCATGCAAAGTCGGTTAGGTGAGATACTTTTGGTTTCCTGAATTGCATGATTTTTTTAACACCTGAACAAACATCTTGAAAAGTATATACTTGTAGCAAAGTTATTTTCACACTGAATTGTCAACGTATTTTTCCGCTTGCCCAATCACAAAAAGGAGCACACGACGGGTATGGTTGGTCGATAGGGATACTTTCTCCTCCATGGCACCTGATCCACTGATCATGTTTGTAGGTGTTCATGAAATACACAAAGTACGTACTTATATGCACAATGATTCTATTATTAGTATTTGATGCCACGCTGAATTGAGATCACCCCTCAAGTCAAACACTTCCAGCTATTAATAGTTAAACGGCAAAATAAATCAATGGTTCAGAAATTTACTTCTGTGTATAATAATGGTGGTAAAAGTGCGAGCTCGTCTATCTTTATTTTCTTTTTAATTGCAACGAGCTTCGTCCAAGCTTTTTAAATACTCCAGTATGAAAACCATGTCTCCATGTACATCACTGACATGCACCTCAGAAAGTAGGAAAACTGGAGTTTTCGCAGATGTTCTAATGTAGAAAAGGTACATTTAAGGATACTTGCAAGAAATAAAAAACGGATGTATATTTTTCGATTTATTTTGGTTATAAATGATGCATTTTTTTAATTAAAGACTTACCTGCCAAGTACGAAAGCCTATTAGGATCAAACTACGGTAAAACAAGATGTGTTTGTGAAACACTGATGCCCCCGTATGGCAGCTTATGGCGAAGGTTAAAGTTTCTCAAATGGAAGTCAAAATCCAGGCCAAAAGATAAAAAAAATGTTAAATTTGAAAGCCCTTGCTGCAACTGTTCAAGAGTAATGGCGAAGGTTAAAGTTTTTTAAAAGTAAGTAAAACATCAAGGTCAAGGTCAAAGTTGTTGGTATCCAAGGGAAGGTCTTGTCACAAGGATTACATATGTAAAGTATGAAAGCCCTAGCACCAACCATTCAAATGTTATGGCCAAGATTAAAGTAGGTCAAACTCCTATGTCAATGTCAGAAGGTCAAAGTGGTTGGTATCCAAAGGAAGTTCTTGTCACAAGGACTATGTATGTGAAGTACGAAAGCCCTAGCACCAACCATTCAAAAATTATGGCCAAGGTTAAAGTTTTTCAAAAGTAAATCAAACCCCTATGTCAAGGTCAAAGGGTCAAAGTGGTTGGTATCCAAAGGAAGGTGATGTCACAAGGATTACATATGTGAAGTATGAAAGCCCTAGCATCAACCATTCAAAAGTTATGGCCAAGGTTAAAGTTTTTCAAAAGTAGGTCAAACACCTAGGTCAAGGTCAAAAGGTCAGAGTGGTTGGTATCCAAAGGAAGGTATTGTCACAAGGATTACATATGTGAAGTATGAAAGCCCTAGCATCAACCATTCAAACGTTATGGCCAAGGTTAAAGTTTTTCAAAAGTAGGTCAAACACCTAGGTCAAGGTCAAAAGGTCAAAGTGGTTGGTATCCAAAGGAAGGTCTTGTCACAAGGATTACATATGTGAAGTATGAAAGCCCTAACTCTAACCGTTCAAAAGTTATGGCCAAGGTTAAAGTTTTTCAAAAGTAGGTCACACTTCTAGGTCAAGGTCAAAGGGTCAAAGAGGTTGATATCCAAAGGAAGGTCTTGTCACAAGGAATACACATGTGAAGTTTGAGACACCAAGCTCCAACTGTTCAAAAGTTATTGCCAAGGTTAATGTTTTTCAACAGTAGGTCAAACTCCAAGGTCAAGGTCAAAAGGTTAAAGTTGTTGGTATCCAAAGGAAGGCCTTGTCACAAACAATATACATGTGAAGTTTGGAACCCCAAGCACCAACTGTTCAGAAGTTATGGCCAAGGTTAAAGTCTCATAATTTTTTTGCAAATGTGGGTCAAACTCCAAGGTCAAAGGTCAAATATGATGGTACACAAAGAAAGGTCTTGTCACGAGGAATACACATGTGAAATATTAAAGTCATAGCTCCAACCAATCAAAAGTTATGGGCAAGGTTAAAGTTGACAACAAACAGACAGACAAACAGATAAACAGACAAACAAGATAAACAGGACAAAAACAATATAACCCCGGGATCTTTCGATCCGGGGGCATAAAAAATTTAAAAGGCATTATAACGCCTTTTCGAAAGGCGTTATAACGCGGAAAAAGGCGTAATTACGCCTTTCCAAAAGGCGTTATTACGCCTTTCCAAAAGGCGTTATTTTGCCTTTTTAAATGGCGTTATTACGCCTTTCTAAAAGGCATTAATACGCCTTTCCAAAAGGCATTATTATGCCTTTTGAAGAGCCATTATTATGTCTTTGACAGATCCGTGCTTTTGAAGGGGGGGGGGGGGAGGGGGCTCCCATAAAAATTGACAAGCAAACAAAAAAAACCAAGAACCCCCCCCCCATCCGAAAAAATAATAAAGTCTAAACTTGAGGGGAATCTTTTTCTAACTTTTCGGTAAAACTTTTTTAAATGCAATGACCTGCCCGAGTTTAACCATACTGCAACAAAATGTTAAGGGACCAAGCAATCAATAAATGATTTTTTATATTTAAACTATAGCAAGACTATTCTCCCAAAAAGTGGGGAGGGGGAGCCCCCCCCCCCCCGCATTCGTACTACCGGCCTGTTTGAAAAGGAGTTACATGTATATCCAAAAATGGAAAGGCGTTATTTTAAAATAATAAATATATGAAAGATTGAACCAAAGCCTTTCTATTTATGCAATATTTAGAATATAGTTTTAATATTATAAATCATATTTTAAATTATAGTACTTTCTATATTCCTGCACATCTCACAGACAGCTGTTTGCATGCGTATTAAGAGAAGTCAACACTCTACTTTTGAAAATCCAGGATATAGGCAGAGCCAGCTTTGGGATTTGCTAGTCATGTATTAAAAATTCATGTCAAATTTGAAATATTTTTCTCTCCTCTTGAAAAAAAAAAACAGGCAAACTATTTGCACAGGTATAGTGAGCAATTAGCCTTCAACCAAATTTCTGAAATCCTTGCACCTTGGTAGAGGTGTCTGGCATCAGAGAAGGACTAAGTTGGTTTAACACTGAAATATTTTACACATTCAAAAATCTTTTTTCCTGGAAAACTAATTATAATCAGTCCCCAGTGTGCTTTAAGAAAGGCATAATAACGCCTTTTTAAAAGGCGTAATAACGCCTTTCAGAAAGGCGTAATAACGCCTTTACGAAAGGCGTAATAACGTCTTATAGAAAGGCGTAATAACGCCTTTTGGAAAGGGGTAATTACGCCTTTAGAAAAGGCGTAACAACGCCTTTTTGAAAGGCGCAATAACGCCTTTAAGAAAGGCGTAATAACGCCTTTTGGAAAGGCGTAATAACGCCTTTTGGAAAGGCGTAATAACGCCTTTTTGAAAGGCGTAATAACGCCTTATGGAAAGGCGTATTTAGGCTTTTTTTCGCGTTATAACGCCTTTTGGAAAGGCGTAATTACGCCTTTATTTGCGTTATTACGCCTTTTTCCTAAAGGCGTTATTGCGCCTTTTTTTAGTTCAACATCTAAGACATGCCAGTGATATATATTGTTTTAGGGAGAAGGGGGGGGGGGGCAAAGGAATTCAGTCATTTGATGAAAACTTTTTCTTCAGAAAATTGTGGCCAGGATTGATGTACATCACTATGATTTTTCAAGATACCGTAATTCTTGAGATATCTGATAAATCAGCCTATTCTTCTTTCTTGTTTTATATACTCGGAGACTGAATACATGTATTAGTTTTTTGCTTAGTTGTAATGATTTTTTATTTTTTTTTTTATTTTTTTTTTTTTTATTTTTTTTTTTTTTGCGTTATTCTTATATACAGTCATGTGCAGATACAATTGGTGTTTGGGTTGACATTTTTAGATCACCTGAACTGGAAGTTCAAGTGAGCTTTTCTGATCACATTTTGTCTGACCGTCCCTCTGTCTGTAAACTTTTCACAATTTCAGTTTCTTCTCAAGAACTACAATGTCAATTTCAAACAAACTGGCCACAAAGAATCCGTGGATAAAGGGGATTCAAGTTTGTTCAAGTGAAGGGTCATGCCCTCTTTCAAGGGAAGTACATGTAGTTAAGAAATAGTGAAAATTTAGTGGCATCTTTTAAAAATCTTCTCAAGCATGCACCACTGTGTCAGAAAAAATGAAACTTATGTGTAAGATTCATTATGAAGTGTAGTTTCAGTTTTATTCAGACCATGTCCCTCGTGGGAAGGGTGTGGCTACAATAGGTGATCAAAGCTTTTTATAGAATATTTAGAAAATAAATCTTTCATTTTTTTTTCAAGAAGTGAAGGGTCAGAAGAGATGATACTTATGTGAAAGCTTCTTTACATATCGTAAGATCAATTTTGAGGTGCTGGCACGAAAAAGATCCCTCACTACTCAATGATCCTAAGTGCCATGTATAGATATAAATTTGCAGCCCTCCATCGGCAACTGATGACGTCTACATACGAATGAAAAATTCTCGAAATGGACATTATAACAACAAACAAATAAACGCAAAATCAATTTTGTTCAAATCATGACCCCAAAGATAGGGTGGGGCTACAATGGGTGATCAAAGTTTTACATAGGAATATATACAGAAAATCTTTAAAAATCTCATCAAAGGTCAGAAAGATGTAGCCCCCCCCCCCCCACACACACACACACGCCCGGTGGTTTGCTTTTTTTCTGCTTTGGTAAATTCTGTTTAACTTGTATATACTCTCAATTTAGTCAACAGGTAAAACGTCATAATTAAATAATTTTCTTAACATATACAGTAACACACCTTTACATACAAATGACTTTTTAAAAAAATATTTTTGGCTTGGTAAAACTAATTAAAATATACGAACGATTTTAGGATATTTAACCAATTATGCAGAAGATTGAAATAATTAAAAATATAGGAGGAATAAGCCTCCGTGCATATGGATCACAAAGGGCCTAATCCATGTGATATATTATCTTACTAACAAAAAAAAACGAAGGCGATTCTGTGTGAGCTCTCCGAAACTGCAGTAAGTTATAGCCTATATCAGGAGTTAAAAAGGTGAAGAGTACAATTGTAACAAACAGTAATCAAACTCATAAATTCTACAAATAATCGCTGCATATCATTTCCGGAATTTTGCACTGGATTTCCGACAATTTCTATTTTCATTTCCAACACTTTTTATTTTCATTTCCGACATTTATTTATTTATTTATTTATTTACATTTCCAAAATTTTTAGAGGTACCTTTTCGACAATTTAATGTAAACCAAGTAGTGGAAATAAATTTTTAATAAGATATTACACTTATTTCAAACCACATTTTTCGAATAAAAATATTACAATGCACTGCAGCACTAAGTCTAAGTCTAGATAAAAGTTTTGTATGTATGGTGGCATATTTCTGCCCCTTGTGTGCAAGTTATTTTTCTGTCAAATATGTCGACATGCAAGATAAATATGTCGACATGCAAGATAGTTATGCCAACACGCAACATAACTATGTTGACATGCAAGAAAATTGCAATCAAATAAGAATTATAAAACATCTTTAAGATATCTCAAAAATTGCCCACATGTGACATCCAATATGCTAGATGCTACTTATTTATGTCGACATGCAAGTTATTTATGTTGACATGCGAAATAAAAATGTTGGCATGCAAGTTATTTATGTCAACATGCAACTTAGTTATGTCAACATGCAATTTGTTTATATCAACATGCAACTTAGTTATGTTGGCATGCGAGATAGATATGCTGACATGCAACTTAGTTATGTTGAGTAGCAGATATATATTGTATGAGTTGAATGAGCATGCAATTAAATTGTTCACTAACTTTAATAATGTCCACTGAATTATATATCAGTGACTGTACCAGATTTACGTTGGATATCAATGATTTATTCTTTAAAATAAAGTCTTCAATTCTGTTTTCATTGCCGGGAAAGTACATTATGATAAATGTCAGAGAAGAAAACTGTAAAATGTCGGAAAGGCAAAGTTGAATATTTTTTAAAAATCCGGAAATGAAACCAGCCATAAACAATACAAATCATGGATCGAGCACCAAAATCAAGGACCTCTGGAAACAACAGCAATGCCTAGGATGAGTATATACATGTACTAGTACCCTCTGTGGACCGGTCAGAGATAATATTTCAAATTTCAAATCAATCTTGTCTTAATAAAAAAAGGTCTTAAAATTTTTTAAATCAATTACAAAGTTGAAGGCTTTGTCACGTTGATTTTCTTCACTGTTTTAACGTGAACTTGTATAATATAGTTTAATGTGGGGATAATGATTTCTTTTACCAAATTTTCTATTTAATAAAAATTTGTGGGAAGTCAGCTTGCTTCGATTTGAATTTATATACAGACCCAGTATTAGGGCTTGTCCAGAGACCCAGTTAGATTATTCAACTATAGTAAGGTGTCCCTTGTGCGTCCTTCAGTCTGTCTATCTGTGTTGTAAACAAATTTTCAAAGTCCACTTCTCATAGTTTTGGTCCGATTCATTAAAAAAAAAAACAATACAATATTATAAAATCTGATGCACAAGAAGACAATAATTAAGAATTAGATGTCAGTTTTTGATTTCAAAGAATGGTGTTGACACAGTTACTAAACATAGAAATTTTTGTAAAATTCTTTCAAAACATTTACTCATCCTACAATTAATTTTGATCCGATTTCAATAAAACATGATACATAAGTGAACTGTAGAATAAGATAGGTAAATATTATTTCTACCTTTTTTTTTTTTTACTTCAATGATCACTAGAATGCTTTTAAATTGAAATGACTTCAAAAAATAGAAACATTCTACTTCTAAAATATGAATGCTTTTTGGAAAACTTTTTGGAAAATTGGGAAAACTCAAAAAATTACATGAATAATGCACACAGCAAATAATTTAAAAGAAGGGCTAAAAATTCGAATGCAATATATTTGCAGACAAATAAATAACACATACATATATACTGGTCTACTACAATTTTACACAAATGTATCCATTTAGGCGGGAGGGGTTGTTACCACACTGGTCTAAAATTTTCTGGCTGTAAGAGGTAGAAATATTTTTTCCACATTATAAATCAATTAGCGTTGCCCCCCCCCCCCCCTTCCCGGAGTTTGGGGTCTGGAAATAGTTGGGAGGGGTTATATTTATGCGGTTCTTTCTCCTTTCCTGCTCAATCTAAATTTGTGTCTCCTAATATATGCAAAAACTTACTTATAATATTATTACTAGAGCCTGCTTGTGTTACTCCACCAATGATCATTTCTCAGAATATCGACTTCTATTCTACTTTCACTTTCTAATACTCAGACAATAAACGACCTCCTTTAAATATAATGCATGTCATTGACGTTTCAATTCCATACACAACTAGAAAGTCACAAATCAACAATATTCTTCTCTCTCATAGACAGATCTAAACTTTATAGACATCGTTTCCCTAGCAATGTAGTTTATAACTTTGACGTTTTACTACAATCGGCAAATAGAATGTGGAAACTACCCGAGAGGTTCCGAGGTTCTTCAAAGGGCGATAATTCGAGCTGGCCAACAAAACCAACACTAAGTTGACTAACGACACTATCATGACTATGAGTGACCTTACATTGTACTATTTTCCAGGATCGTATTATTCTCAAAGGGTAGGAGAAAAGTTTAACAGGAAAATCATTAATAATTCTCTGATCTAAATCTTTTATTCCGTGCTTCATGGTCATGGTTTCACGTTGCGCAATGATAAGGGCATGTGCACCATGCTCAGCTGACTGAGCTGTTGCTTCATGCAGACAAGTATCTACATCAGTACATCGCACTTGTGTGATTTTGATTATTCATAAATTAATGAGCTCAATTTTTTTTTTTCAAAAAAAGAATGGTACATGTTCGTTTGCATTATTTATGGGTGATTATCATAGTGATATAAGAACACCATATCTGAATATTAGAAATGACTAGGTCTAGGGTTGTAAGAATGGGCTAGAGCATTTAGAGTGTATGAGAGTATCTTTATATATCATGATACATGATATGTATCATGATATTTCACCTTTCATATGTATGCCCTTAAGAAACTTTCTATTGCAATGTAGATGCAAGTAGGAAGAAGATGTTATTTTATTAAGTTCATAAATTGCTCAAAATATAAAATAATATATGTATTGTGTTATACATGTATATTTATATGAAAAACATCCATGTATACAATTAAAATGATTATAATGGAAAAAAATATACTGAAGTTTTTAAATTTTTTTTGCCCTTATTGATCGTTATATTTTCGTTTCATTTTCGTTAGTCTCATAGTCCAATCTACACTTTGCAAAAGTTCTTTCCCTTTGTGGGGTCAACCAAAAAGTTAATGGGGGAAAACAGAGTGTTTCTCTTGTTAACACTTCCAAAAAGTAAGGCATACTACTACAAATTTACCGCGTAAACTGCATTTATTATTATTTTTTCTTTCAGTGTGTGGGTAACCCATCTGGGGGAAATCAAAATACAAGATGAACATTAAGGTTATTTTGAAGTCAAATGACAAAGTTACAAAGGCCACAATGGATGGTGGTTCCCACCCCCTTAAAGATATATGGCGGCAAAGGGAAATATCTTTTAAAAAGTGTTGATTCAACTAAATATTGTGACAACACTTATGCGAGTTTCTCTATATATTTCCATGCATGACTATAGACAAAAATGGCATTCAAATCAATTCTTATATAATTTTATTTTAATAGAAAAATATAGCAAATGTAAAATATATATCTTTGTCTTCATGAAAGAGAAAGGAGATTTATATGTAGATGATACATGGGTGTTTTTACCCCAATTTGTCATTAAATGCTAGGGCTGTTTTCATGCGACCAATATGGTACATGTATACCTTCATATTCTGGCTTTCTACTGGTAGTTATAACTGTATATCTTTTTAAAAATAAAAACATACCAGTACATGTATTTAAGAATTAAGCTTTGACTCATAGGGGCATGCTATTTTTATCAAAACTCAGATGGGATGGGGGTAGGCAGTAGGGGGTTCAATATGCAAGAACATATAAAATTGTGTTGGCCAGTGGGATGTAATTTTGTTGGTCACATTTAAAGACAGAAGATTCATTGAACGCTTTGCACAAAAAAATATTATTTATTGAGTGTAATTTTGTTGGTAAGATTGATAAAGATATTCACAAACATAATGGAATTTTGTTGGTAAGATTGATAAAGATATTCACAGACATTATGGGCCTCATTGAGCAATGACCTTTTTAATTTGTTTTACTTTAAAGGCTTTGTTGGCACTGTATGAAAAAGATGCAAAGTTCAAGCACCAGGTGGTGTTTATTCATGATGGAGACAACATTACCCCAAGTTACATGAGAATGAATCCTGCTGGTCAAGTTCCTGTGTTAGCTGATGGAAGGAAAATCATTACAGAGTCAGATGCAATAATTAAATATGTAGATGAAAATGTCCACACAGGTAAAGAGAGCACTAGATGCAGTAAGGTAGCCCTTTTTAGCTCACCTCAACGAATCTGGGGGAGCTTATGTAATACCCTTTAATAATGGTGTTAAAGTTTTTGGAGCAGATTTCTTTTCAAGTACTTCTATGCCCTATATTAATCAGAGATGCATGGAGGATGCTTCTAGTATGTTTCATTTTACAAGTCAAGGTTTCAGATGCTGCAATTTCAGCTAAAGAATGGTCAGGTTAATGTTTTTCGAGCATGTTAAAGTTTTTGGAGCAGGTTAAAGTATTTGGAGCAGATCTCATTTCCAAGTAACTATAAGCCCTATATTGACCAAACTTGCATGAATGACACACCTAAGTATGCACACTACCAGGCTTGCTTTGGATGCTGGATCTGACCTACATTTTTGGGATAAGTGACCAGGCTAAAGTTTTTAGAGAAGATCTCATTTCCAAGTAACTATAAGCCTTATATTGACAAAACTTGCACGGATGATACATCAAAGAATGCACACTATTTGACTTGGTTTTGATGCTGGATCTGACCTACAAATTTTGGATGATGACCAGGTTAAAGTATTTGGAGCAGATCTCATTTCCAAGTAACTATAAGTCCTATGTTGACCAAACTTGCATGGATGATATCTACGGATGCACTCTACTGGACTTGCTTCAGATGCTGGATCTGACCTACATTTTCTGGATGAGTGACCAGGTTAAAGTTTTTGGAGCAGATCTCATTTCCAAGTAAATGTAAGTCCTATGTTTACCAAACTTGCATGGATGATACATCTAAGGATGCACATTACTGGACATGCTTTGAATGCTGGATCTGACCTACATTTTCTAGATGAGTGACCAGGTTAAAGTTTTTGGAGCAAGTCCATTGCCAAGAAACTATAAGGCTTATCTAAACCAAACTTGCATGGATGATGCATCAAGGGATGAACGTGCACTCTCAAACTTGCTTCAGATGCTGGATTTGACTTATCTTTTCTGGATGAGTGACTGTTTAAAGTTTTTAGATCAGTCCATTCCCAAGAAACTGCAAGCCCTTTCAGACCGAAATTGCATAAATGTTGCATTTAGGGATGCACACTACTACATTTAAAGACAACATTCGTTGAGGAAAGCTCTGCAATACCTATGTCTTGAGCGTGAATTCATTGTGATTGTGTATTAATTTTTTCTGACTGTGAATAGTTCTCCTGCACTGTAATTTACTTTACTTCGCCATTTCAATTTAGAGGTCAATTGAAATGTATCAAAATTAGATCATTTGATTGGCTTACATAATGTATAATCCCTACCATTCAGGCTTTGTGTAGTGATCATATGTGAGCCTATTAAAGGATCTGATTTAGATTAGATTGATTTTTGTTGTATCTCTTGATTGTGATGACTTACAGATCAAGTTCAAATTTTATGATGATTGACTTATTTTTATACGCCCGTCTTTAGACGGGACGTATTATGTTATGGCGTTCATGTCCGTCCGTCTGTCTGTCTGTTAGCTTTTCTCGTGTCCGGCTCATAAAGTTTGTCAGCTGATACTTCTTGGGTAGAAGGTGTGTCGCGCACTAAAAGTAGGTCGTTCTGACCTTTAATTAAGATGCTATGGCCAAATATGGAAAAATCCTGTCCGGCTCATAACTAGAAAACTATTAGACTTAGAATCATCAAACTTGGCCAGTTTATGCATCTTAGGTAGAAGGTGTGTTGTGACCTATTTCAAGGTCACTGTGACCTTTAATTTAAGTGAAATTTAAAAAAAAAACTGTCTTTGTACTATTAAATTACACAATCCCAAAAAATGTAAAAGTGTTGCAGTATCCTTATTAAAAAGATGTTAAAATCAAGAAATACTTATTTTTTTCATTATATACTATACAGCAATCTATAACAAATATAATGTTACAAGAGAAATTCCACCTCTCCCATGGGTGTAATTATCAAGCACTGGTCAAGGAGAATTTTGATAACAGAAAATTGCATGTCAAATTAGAGAGAAATTAATGAGTTTAGTGTGAGGAGCTAACTGGTAGAGCATCTCTGATCAAGCAGGTGTTATCTATATCTCTTGGGAATTGGGCAGAGGAGTCAGCCATGTTGGGTTAAATAGGTTTTGTGGGCTAGCCTAACTTTTAAAATGAATTTGGTGAAAAGTAATTAAAACTAATTTGATATTGTATAATAAACTAATTTTATATCGTATAATAAACTAATTAATTTAAACTAATTATACTCGGGGGGGGGGGGGGGGGGGGGGTATGATATTGGAATTGGAATTAGCATGCCCATTGTCCATATGAATTGCAGCTTAAAACCAGTGTGACATTGAATCTAAAAAAAAAAAACAACAACAAGTATTTAAAAAAAAAATTTTAATTATGGTAGATAGTCCCTACAAATCTAAGAGTCAAGCAGAAACCTTATTAAAAATGTTGCATCAAGATTACAATTTTTTTTCTTTTTATAAATCTTTGTAACAAATTAAAAAAAAAATCTTTGTTTTCAAATTTAATTTCAGAATGACATAAATTGCACTACCAAGCAGATAGCGCAGATCCATTCATCCCTTGGGAGTAATGAGTGGACATGCATCCAGTTAAAGATTAATTAATGAGTTCAGTGTAGGAAGGCTAGCTGTCTCAATCATTTCTGTTAGAGCATCTCTGATCAAGCAGTTCTTATCTGTATCCTTTGGGAATTAGACAGAAGAACTGCTGGTCAGTTTATAGCATATGTCATTTGATGGCCAGTCTTTTATTTTAAAATTAAATTAATTGGTATAGATTAAGTTGTTAAGACAAAATTGATATTGTTTAATATGATATTTTTATTTAATTTTTTGAAAATATCAACTAGTAAATTTCAGAGCATCATGTCTCACAAATATGAAAGATGTGTGTGTGTGTCACTGTGTGTGTGTGTGGGGGGGGGGGGGGGGGGGGGGGGGGGGCTGCAGATGGGCATTTGTCAAGCTCTAACACTACCAGTTGAGGATCTATAATGTAATATTTGTTATAATGCCTACACCACATGAAATGTATAAACAAAAATTATAAGAAATGGAAAAATGTTGGAAATCCTTGTATAAAGGTTGACTTGATTTTCTTGCACTCTAAACTGTTCGTGATAATTGAACAGTATTTGACGGGCGTGTCATGCTGTGGCGGGGCACTTTATTTCAAGAAGGTTATTGCCCTTAGACTTTGAAAATTTCTAATTCATTGTTTTTTCAGTATTTTTATTTTGTTTTGTTTTGTTTCTTTGTATTGATGACTTACAGAATGGTTATGAATATTGATTTATATACCCATTCCCCCCCCCCCCCCCCCAAATATGGCCCTTCGACTTTGTGTCATATTTCCACCTATTAGTAAGTTCACACATTTGGACTTTTATATAAACTTGCATGTCAGCAGGGTCATTAATGCTATACTGACACATCAACAGTGTAGCTTTTATCAAACTTGAGTTCCCTATAGACAAGAAAATACATAGTTCTAGCTTTGGTGTAATTTCCTTATTTCTATCTTGTTGCATGCAGGGTTGTCCCTAAGATCTGGCGCCAGGGAATTTCCCTGCCTAGAAAGATGTAATCCCCCGGTTATTTTGGTATTCCCTCTGAAATCCCCATTAGGGGAGAAACTCTAGACCCCCTTCTACTTTTTTAATGTACCTTTCTTTTTCAATTCTTAGGGACAACCCGGTGCATGGGCTATCTTCCTTTTTAAAAAATGATAAAAAAAAAACCTTGTTTGCCCAAAAATTGTATCACTATCTGAAGATTTGTATTTCAGTAAACATATTCCATAATTAAGTGATGATACATGTACTGTATATATAATTATGGGTTTGTGTGTGACTCCTCAAACAATTTGAAAAGTTATGATAAATCTACACATGTTAAATAAAGTGATCAGTTAAGAGCACAATACAGTGATAAATATATACAATTACAGGGTCTACATTGATTCCTGATGAGACGTCATCAGTTGGAAAAGAGGTGACTCGCTTATGGAAGCTTATAAATTCTGTAAGGGTGGAGATAATGACTTTTGGGGTGCTCTCTTTTCAAGATCTATCCACAACTGGTCTCCACCCAATAGCAAAACCAATGGCAAATATGGGTAACTATTTTTTTTTTTTTTTTGATTGCAAATGATATTTGTTAGCACCGTCAATCATTAGGTCACCTGAGTTTACTCAGGTGACCCATTGCTATCTCTTTTCATCTGTTGTTGTGAATCGTCCGTTGTGTGTTAATATTTGAACATTTTCAGCTTCTGCTCTAGAACCACTGAACCAATTTCAACCAATTTTGGCATATAGCATCTATTGGTGAAGGGGAACAATAAATTGTGAAATTCATGGCCCCTGCCCCCCCCCCCCCTTCGGGGCCTGAGGGGTGGGGCTAAAACCATAAAAATTAATGCAATCTTTAAAAATCTTCTTCTTTACTCCTGGACATCAAGCAGTCAAACTATTAGCATGATTGTAATAAGCATTGAGCCCTTTACCAAAATTGTGAAATTCATGGCCCGGCCCCTGGATCAGGGTTTCTGGTGCTAGGGTGGGGCTCTGTTGAACATATAGTGAAAATGCATTATTTCTTTTAAAAATCTTCTCCTCTGCTCCTGGGTATTAAGGAAACAAATTAAATTCATAGTTATGAATTGTGAATTTCATGGCCCTTAGTCGGGGTTCCGTGGAAGGGGTGTTGGTTGGGGGGGGGGGGGGGGGGGGGTGTTGATACATACTGAAAATAAATAAATGTTTCATGGCCCCTGAGCCAGGGGTTCTGGTATTTTGACAGGGCTCTATTGAGTAAACAGCAGAAATGCATTTAATACTTTGAAAATCTTCTCCTCTGCCCCTGAGTATAAAGCAAACAGAAAAAATGCAATAATATATAGTGTAAATGTTTAAATATAAATATACATGTAAGTAAATGTGCCTTTTCTCTGTTCCTGGGTATCTAGGAGGCAGAGTACAAAATTGTAATAAGTGAAGCAAATGAGAATTACTTCCCTTTGCTAAATTGTGTTTAATCAAGAAATTCTTCTGTTTAATTTAATTAACAGGTTATTTGATTGAATGAGAATACAAGAAAGAATTTTATATACCTGGTATATAGAAACAAAATAAAAATGAATGTTTGGTTTAAACGAACAAAGCCTGCTCAGAATCGAATTCTTGCTTAGCAAGCGATATAAAGGATTGACATAAAGATTATTTATCTAGCAAAGGGCTAGTTGTACTAAGTATGTCTACACTGGGGTGTCCTGTTTGATGATAGAAAGAGTTATGGTCAGGTAACTTCATGGAGATCGTAGTTAAGATTGCTAGAAGTTGCTAGTGCTGGTACATGTAGCAAGTATTACCAATTTTATTGTGTAGCCAAGAGGCAAGTGTTGGTACCAAGTGTTACCAAGCAGCTAAGACCACGGAACATTAACTGGCAAAATTGGAAATATGCAGCTTACGTCATTTCCATCTGTTACAATCAAAACATTTAGTGATAGACAATGGAATGGGCGGATACAATTGGACATGGACGTCAGAGAAAACATTGGATTGAAATTCTAGTTTGAAATTCATTTTCAATACACCTCAGCTACGCTAGAAGGCAATGTGTTACTGACTGACCCAGAAAACAAATAATTTCAATTTCGAAATATTTTGAAGTTAAATATACAAATAAGAATTTCTGTCCAGTGTTTTTAAAGAAATGTAAAGGGACAAATATTTGATTTCTGTTAGGTATGTGCATGCATGTATTGAGGGGGGGGGGGGGGGGGAGGGTGAACGATCTAAGAAATTAAAAAGAATTTTTTTTTTCTTTTTGACAAACCCTCCCTGTTTTTGATTGTCAAACATTTTTCAGTGAAGACAAAACTAAAGAAAATACCTTTTGTCATTGTAGAAATAAATATATTTTGTCATGTGAAGGCATGATCTGACTCAACAATTTTAACCCCCCCCTCCCCTTTCTAGTATCAAATAGCCATTCCCTGAAAAAATAATCCCTGTCTTCTATGACTTTTACGTGTCCTTAATTTAAAATTATAAGCTAAAAACTCATATAAACAATGATAAATATGAATTTCAAACAACATGTATTGGGAATTGAAATTATTTGTCTTTTTTGATCATACATTTACACTTTGCGATTGAAAACATCTCAGGTGGATTGAAAATGAATTTCAAACTAGAATTTCAATCCAATGTTTTCTCGGACGTCTGGGCAGAATTAGGGCTGGGACGATATATCGAGATATCGATAATATCGATTCTGTGTGAAGACGATACTCATATCGATACATATGAAGAAATATCGAAATATCGCAAAAAATATCTGACTTATGTTTTTCTTTGTTTATTTAAAATTTTGGGTTTAATATATAAAAGAAATATGCTAAATATAAATATAAATATGAAATACATAATGATTAACACCACTTGTGTAAAATAATTTTGTTTTAAAACAGATAAACAACTTCTTTCAATTAACTATTCTTATTTGTGAAGAAATGTTTTGTTCATTTCAATACAAAAAATAGATTTTATAACCAATTCAACATATCGTGATATGTATTGTATCGTGGCTCAAATATCGTGATACGTATCGATATAGAAAAAGTTGTATCGTCCCAGCCCTAGGCAGAATTGTACCCGCCCATTTCATTGTCTATCATTAAATGTTTTGATTGTAACAGATGGAAAAGACATAAACTGTATATTTCCAATTTTGCCAGTTAATGTTCGGCGGTCTTAAGTTGTTTGTGAAGCCAAGAGGCATCACCTTGAGTAAATATACAGATTTCTCTCTCTGTACTTAATTGTAGCTCTAGGCAAGTGACAAAATGAATATCTGTATATATTGAATACCTTACACACTAGGCAAGTGTCCATTGTGTATTTTGCATTCATTATCATCCCTGTAAGAGGTTGGGAAAACCAAGTACGATCCCAAGGAGATCACTCTGGTCTCATTTGTTACTATAAGTTAGGGTAATTTTACCAGATTATTGAAATTCATGGGCAAAATAGCTTCAATTATCAGCTGATTTTGTTTAATACTTCTATGGATCTTGTACAGTGTTGTATTATACTCAGGTGACCATTAAGGCCCTTGGGCCTCTTGTTTATACATGTAGTCTGTTTTACATTCTCTCCTAAGATGTAACATGCTGTCTTCTCTAAATGGAGAAATTCTCTTTGCTTTTTACATTTGAAAAAAAAAATTAATAAAAAAATTTCCATTTAAGCACTATGTTATTTAGTAGTTTCATTAATAAATATATATATTGCTATAATTATACTTTTAGATCAAGGGAAAAGATATGAAGGTTTGAAGAAAACACTGGCTGCACTAGCTGAGAAGTACCCTGATTTACGAGATGCATACAATACCAAGATTGAATTTTCCACAAACTTCCCTAAAAATTTCCAGAATAGAGAGCTAGTTGTTAAAGTCTTGAATGATGTGGAAAAAACATTGGATGAAATAGAAAATGTTCTGAAAAAAGTGAAAGAAGGTAAAATTACAGTTATTATACATATAGCCAGAATGAAAAGCAAAATCAAGTTCTTGAATTTATAAAGTGCTTCTATTGGTCCACCTATCCGTCTCAGAGTCTGTATCACAATCAGTTACACTGTTGTGCTTATAGCTCTGTTGAGTGCAGGGCTTTCAATAATTCTGAAGTGAAGGGGTGAATTTATCCAGTTTTAGAATTATTTTTAATATTTAATTTGCCAATTATGCAATTTTTGGTCATTGAAATGAGGATAAATCAACTCTTGCCACCCCTGCTTGAAAGCCCTGTGAGTGTGATATTTTTTCCATGTTATAGTAGTCATTGAACTTTACACACAAGGTAATGAGAATGACCTTCATGCATGTATATAATGATGTTCTTTTACAACTTTCAATTTCCAGGGGATCCATCTTTTTAAGTCCTAGCTGTTCACAGATTTGTAATTTTTAAAGGCTTTTTGAGATAGATCGCTGTTTGCTAAATTCACCTATTTCAAATAACTCAATATGAGATATTTCAAGCTTAAAAAAAAATACTTATTATGTGTGTGTGCAAAATGCATGAAAATACATTTGCTTTACAGAACAGGGTATCAGTGACTGTTGGTTAGTTGGGCCTCGCTTCACTGCAGCAGATATAGCCTTGGCCACTTTGCTGGACAGGATCTCCTTCCTTGGGCTGGCTGCTCGGTACTTCACCCAGGAGAAACGACCTCACCTTTACCAGTACTATCAGAGACTGGGGACCAGAAAGAGTGTCCAGCAAGTCAGATCTCTTGTCCTAGCTACCCCTCGCATGTTTATCCTCCGAAAACTGAAGAAAGCATCTCCTTTTGTAGTTGGAATTATTGCTGCTGGGATAGGGGTTGCTGTGGCATACAGTATACTGAAACGAAAATAAGAACAAAGAACAAGTGTTCATAAACATGGTCAATTAATACATGTTAAACATTATAAATATAGCAATAGCTTGAAATGAAATCATAGGGCAATCAAAATTTAGAAAAGATAAAGATAGGTTTGAATGGACTGGAAATTACAATACCAAACAGGTCATTTTGCTTCATACACAATTATAGTCTGTCTGGCAATAGTATTGATTTTTGATTTATTTTTCTTTGATTTTTAAATTATCATTAAATCATATAGGATGTACTTTTTTTTACTGCAATTTAGATGTCTGTGATGTTATTTTGGCAGCATAGAGCATCAGAGAGTAGGCTAGCATATAATCAGGAAATTGTATTCTTTACTTTTTTATATACAGTATTTGTACGGTATGTAATATGCAATAAGGCAGTAAATGTATTCATTGAACATTACTGACGAGTACTGAACTGTATTTGTTGGGTATGATGGTGGTTGTTAATTTTGTATCATTTATACGTAATATTACTTGTAAACCAAAGACGAACTGGAAAATTTTCCTGAGGAAGTAATATTAGCTAGTCATCTTAAGTCATATGTTTATTTATTTTGTGGTTGTATTTAGGATGTATATTTTTACTTTTACACAAGAATACCAGCTAGTCTGATTTATTTTTTACAATTTTCCTTGACAGTACATGTACTTCAATTTTCCTTGACAGTATTTGTAGTTGGTTTTCAGAATAGGTTGTCAAAATCATTTTGTTCAGTCTATGTGCTTATGCATTGTTATTTTCATTACATAAAATATATTGCATTATACTTTAAATTGTTTCTTCTATCTATAAAACATATTAATCAAAGAAAAGTGAATTCCTTTGTTTGAAATGGATCAAAGTTTTACATAGGAAAACATAATTGGAGAAATCCTCTTCTCTAGAACAGCAAAGCCATGATTAATTATATTAATATGGAAGCATCCTCAGGTAAAGTTGATTCATTTTTTTTATCAAAGCATGACCCCTGGGGTAGGGTAGGGCCATAAAGGGCGATCGAACTTTTACATTGAAATATATAGGAAATATCTTTAAAAATCTTCTTCCCAAGAACAACAAATCTGTGATTAGCCATATTAATCAGAAGCATCCTCAAGTAGTGTAGATTCAAGTTTGTTCAAATTATATTACCCGGGGTAGGATGGGGCCACAAAAGAAGAAAAACAATCTTTAAAGCCATGTTTAGTCAAAGAAATATGGAAGTATACTCAGTGTAAAGTGTGAACAAACCATGCCCCTACCCAACCCCCCACCCAACCCCATCCCCAGGGAGTGTATTTGAACATTTTAAAAATAAACGCGTAACTTTCACTAAGAAACGCGTAATTTTCGCCTTATAACGCGAAACTTTCACGAATAAACGAAACTTTCGCTAATTAATACCTGAAATTAACATTTCATTAGAATATTTTGATATTAGAATTTGTATTATTCAGCAATCGATTTATAATATATAGGTGATATATATTATAAGGAGAGGGTATGCATAGGCGTTGCCTGTTTCCCAATCCTTAATTAATGAATTATTTCTAATTTGCAAAGTTACTTATAGGAATCGAATACTGTAAAAAAAAAATAATAATAAACTGCATAAAACAGGAAACTTCATGCAGAGTTTTTTGGATCATAGTGCCGGGGGGTCTCGTTGCTGTACATATCAGTAAAGCTGTATATCACGATATCCATGTGTCTGGGACCAGATTGAAAAATAAAATACACTCTATTTAGAATGGTAAAATATATGTTTCATTAAAAAAGTAAGTTTGAATAGAACATAATAGAGTTTTAATACAGAAATAAGGGGTGGGTCCAGGGAGTTGAACGTGATCAGCAGTCACAAATGAAATTTATTGTTTAAGCATTCTGAGAGTATTGCATTAGCAATACTAGTCCCCTACCGGCAAGTGTAATCTGGTTCCCGTTAAAAATTGAAAATGCCATAATTTCGTAAAAAATCAATGAAGTGGAACGATATGCAAACTTGATCCGTATCTCATCAAGGTAAAGTCACATACCAAAAATTAGCTCAATATCTGCAAGCGTTTAGAAAAAAAATTGCGGAAAACCCTGAAAAATTGAAAAGGTCATAATTCCGTCATTGAAGCGGAACGAAATGCAAACTTGATCTGTAGCTCATCAAGATACACTCACACACCAAATAATCAGCCTAAAATCTGCAAGCGTTTAGAAAAAAAGTGCGGAAAACCAAGTGGGACAGACAGACAGACGGACGGACAGACTCAGAGGAAACCTATGGTTTCACCGGTAGGGGTCTAACAAGCATTCTGAGAGTATTGCATTAGCAATACTAGTCCCCTACGGGCAAGTGTAATCTGGTTCCCGTTAAGAATTGAAAATAATTCCGTCAAAAATCAATGAATTGGAACGAAATGCAAACTTGACCTATAATTAATCAAGGTGAAGTCACATACCAAAAATCAGCTCAATATCTGAAAGCGTTTAGAAGAAAATTGCGGAAAACCCTTAAAAATTGAAAAGGCCGCAATTTCCTAAAAAATCAATGAAGCGGAACGAAATTCAAATTTGATCTTTTACTCGTCAAGATACACATACCAAAAATCAGCTCAATATCTGCAAGCGTTTAGAAAAAAAATGCGGAAAACCAAGTGGGACAGACTGACAAACAGAGGGACAGCTAGACAGGCGGACAGACAGGTAGACAGACAGACGGACAGACTCAAAGGAAACCTATAGTCCCCTCCGGTTTCACCGGTCGGTGACTATAAATCAAATAAAGTAGGATTAAGTACACTGTACGTCAAATATACATACTTGTACATGTTCGTCATTGTATATTTCATTGATGGTTGAGCCACTGCTCAAAAATCTATACCTAGCTGTAGGTGGATGGCTCAGCAGCGTTAACGTACTGATTAATGACCGTGGTTTTCATAAGAAACAAGCATTAGCTAGTATTAGCAATACTAGTCCCCTACCGGCAAGTGTAATCTGGTTCCCGTAAAATTGAAAATGCCATAATTTCGTCAAAAATCAATGAAGCGCAACGAAATGCAAACTTGAACCATAACTCATCAAGGTAAAGTCACATACCAAAAATCAGCTCAATATCTGCAAGAGTTAAGAAGAAAATTGCGGAAAGCCCTTAAATTGAAGAGGTCGGAATTCCGTCAAAAATCAATGAAGCGGAACGAAATGCAAACTTGATCTGTATCTCATCAAGATACACTCACATACCAAAAATCAATATCTGCAAGCGTTTAGAAAAAAGTGCGGAAAACCAAGTGGGACTGACTGACAGACAGACAGACGGACGGACTGACTCAAAGGAAACCTACAGTCCCCTCCGGTTTCACCGGTAGGGGATTAAACAAAAGATAATATTCATTGCATGTAAATATTAAAGAATAAGACTACTTGCAACAATGTAGTCTTTTTAAGGTTCATTATTAGTCCCCTACTGGTGAAACCGGAGGGGACTAGTGGTTTGCATATCGTTGCGCTTCATTGATTTTTGACGGAATTATGGACTAGTATTGCTAATGCATTTATTCTCAGAATATTTGTTACAACTGCATCTTGTAATCCAGCCTTTACTTACACTTCCCTTTTAAAGAATGAAATTTTTTTAAATAACTTTTCAGTTTTAAGTACAGTTACGTTTAACATTCCAGTCAGTGAAAGTGAGTTTGATTTACCGTTCCAAAAGTTCATAAAAATCCTTACAAATAAAAATATATATTGCAGATTCCAGTGAACAGCTGTGAATAGAATTAATGTTCAGTCAAGCTCCTATCCTTACTCCTGCAAAAATATTTACTATATGCCAGTGGACCTCACAGTCTGATTAAAACCAGGCCCCTTTCTCCTTTCTCTTCTGAGGAGTGAAAGGAGAAAGGGGGGGGGGGGGATCAGACTGACGAGTGAAAGGAGAAGTGGGTGGTTTTAATCAGACTGTGGACCTCAAAGATCGAGAGCCAATTTTAGCGTAATACAAAAAAGAAATATCCAGTTAGTAATAATTCGTAGGTAAAAATAGTATCGAATAACTGACAACGTTCCTGAAAAAATCTTTGACGACCCAAAAAAAGGGGGGGGGGATGTCAAAATTCTAAAATCCTGCTAAATGGGAGGGAGGGGTTTCCACTTTTTTCTCAGCAAGAAAAAATTGGGGTACATTAACATAGGAAGATCTGACCCGTTACAAACCAAAAAAATAAGGGGGCTTGGTTTTCAATGAACATTTTCATATGTTAAATTAATAGCAAAAGATAATGTTTCGAAAATGGTGGGGCAGCCAGGTTTCCTAGTTGCCCCTTTCTCCCACTCATATACTACGTGTATGCTTTTAACTATATCAACAAAGTGTGTATTTTGATACGATTACATGTAAACGGTTAATCGGTCGGAACATCTTGCGGTTTAAACCGATCCCCATTGCTATAGTCCAAGATCTCCACTCCCCACCCCACCAGTAGAATTTTTAAGAAGTTTACAACCAATTAACCAGCCTGTTTTTGCCCCTTCTTTAAAAAAAAAGCATTGCTACCAGCTTGCAGTTTTTTTTTAAATTAATCTTTATGCTATTGACAGCTAGATTTGCTAGATTTTAAGATTATGCAAGGGAAAGCCGGGATCATTCAAGATATCTTTCACACATGACCGTGGTATACATACATCAATAAATACATAAAAGCAAACAAAACACAAGTATAAACGAGATGTGGTCGTGAAACACTGATGCCCCCGATGACAACTTATAGCGAAGGTTGAACTTTCTCAGACGCAAATCAAATATGTTGGTACCCAAAATAAGGTCTTGTCACAAGGATTGCATACGTAAAGTATGAAAGGCCTAGCACCCAATGTTCAAAATTAATGGCCAAGATTAAAGTTTTCCAAAAGTTGGTCAAACTCTAGGTCAAGGTCAATGGGCTATAATTGTTGGTATCCACAGTAAGGTCTTGTTACAAGGAATACACATGTGAAGTATGAAAGCCGTAGCACTAACTGTTCAAAAGTTATGGCTAAGGTTAAAGTTTTCAAAAAGTACTAGATCAAACTCCAAGGTCAAAGGGTCAAAGTTGTTGGTATCCAAAAGAAGGTACGTCTTGTCACAAGGATTACATATGTGAAGAATGAAAGCCCATGCACAAACCGTTCAAAAGTTATGGCCAAGATTAAAGTATTTAAAAGGTAGATCAAACTCCTAGGTCTAGGTCAAATGGTCGAAGTTGTTTGTATCCAAAGGAAGGTCTTATCACAAGGATTACACATGTGAAGTATGAAAGCCCCTACAGCTAGCACCAACTGTTCAAAAGTTATGGACAAGGTTAAAGCAGGGACCTATATATATCCCTGGTTAAAGTTGGGTAAAATTTTGCAAAACTGGGTCAAAATCCAAGGTCAAAAGGTCAAATATAATGGTACACAAATAAAGGACTTGTCACAAGGATTACACATGTGAAAATATGAAAGCCATAGCTCCAACCAATCAAAAGTTATGGGCAAGGTTTAAGTTTTTGTGGATAAACAGACAGCTAGACAGACGGACGGGCTGGGAAAAAACTTATATGCCCCCGAATCTTCGATTACAGGGGCATAAAAAAGAAAAAAAAAACAAATAGTGGAAACTTCAGAGAAATCGGAATCTAATTTTCTGTCCGATTTCAAGTCTTCAAATTATTTTGGCGAAATCGAAAGTAGATGTTTTCCAGCATGTACTGACGTAGATTGAAAATGCCTATTTCTGGGACTGAAAGATCAGGTTGCTTAAATCTTTTGCAGCTTTTGAAAGATTGGGAAATATTTTCACTAGCAGATACTGTTACAAAGAAGCAAATCGATACTGCAAGGAGTAAAACAGGTATTCTAAATAGGATTGTTTGAAAGAAAAAAAATCAAAAGTATTGGGTATGGTTATCAAGGGCATGAGTGCAAGCCCCTGAGTTGACTTCACGATATTTATTAACATGGACATAATTATTTTATTTGTGATTGAAAAAAATAGCTTTTTTATCAGAAACTTTTTGTCATATTTTTCCTCAGACACTTATGTCATATATAATTATGTTTTACCCCTTGGTATATTATTTTGTTTTACCTGTAAAAATCGTTTCTCATTTAAATCTACAATTAAAAATTTAAGTCTAACATTTCCAATGTTTAACTTAGCGGGGGAAAATGGAGGGTGAGATGTTGACTTGTTGATTGAGATAATATATTGGACTGTTAAATGACACTTTTTTATGTCAGACTGTAGGTAGGATTTTATGTCAGACTGTAGGTAGGATCAGTCATATCTTATTTGCACTTGTTGGTATTTGAACAGTTAGGGAATTGATTGAGTTAAATCTGTAGTATGGGTATTGTGTTAAGAAAATTTACATTGCGGATCAAAGCCAGCACAAGAAGGATTAACAAAACATTTATTGACTGCGTTCTTGGCCAAAATGCATTTTTCTGTCCCCTTGAACCAAACTGTTTGCCAGTTTTGTTTAATGGCCTCAGGCAAACAGTTTAGTTTTTGGATCTGATAAAAATGCATGTGAATTAATGTATAATTAATAACACTGTTAGGTTAATTTTTTTTTTAAAAAAATATTACACGGTGCCCATGATATTTTCATCCACTTTGGCAGATCAAAATCAGTTGAACTAAAAAAAGAATTGCTCATAAGAATAAAAATGAAGTTGATAAATTAAATATAACAATATATATATACCCTTATACATATGACCAGGGACATATGTATAGCATATATAGGTCCATTGTATGGCCAGCCTGAATAAATTCTCTTATTAAATAAAATTAGGCTGTGTTATAGTTACACATTAGATATTTAATTTTAATTGATTATTAGTAGATACACTAATGATTTTTAATTCAGGAGGAGGAGAGCCCAGAGTGAATAAAAATTGTGAGTGTAATTACCAATAGCTAATTGTGTAAATGACTTATCAGAGGACAAATGAGAAAAGCAAGTAGATCATATGTTGATACTTAGTAGTTCCTTCCATTGCGTCAAGCCACGGTCCTGAGTCTGCATATATAGCACCAAATTACCAATCAGTGCTATGTTGAGTGGGGTATGACTCCTGTCCATTCAGGAAGAGATGAAAACAATTGATTGAGGTCTCCAGTTCTCCATCTGAATGGATTGTATTTTACGATGATGCTGCCCTACTACTGCATATTGATGATATCAAATAATCTGAATAATCAGTCAGTGTGTAATTGATGGGTACATATGTGAAGATATGTTTTCAGAATGTTGAATCATAGAGGGCGTGACTTTTTGTCAGCAGGTTAAGCCATCATAGACTATTTTTTTGAGGCCGTCAATTCAACTCAGAAAAAAAGTTCATCCACTGAGATAGGTTTCTTTAATTTTTAAATTTTTTTTTTTTTTAGGGGGGGGGGGGGGGGGGAGGATGTCAATTGAATACATTGTCATTGAAATTTTCAATACAGCTTTCGATGTCTAGAAACCATGAAATGATAACGGTCAAATTTCTCATATTTTAATGAAAGTTACAGCAATACTGGAAGTAAAAACCAGGATCTTTTGAGTGAAATTACTGTTTGGGGACAGGAAAGCAGAAGAGAACATGTGAACTGATTAAGGATATGCAGAGTAAAAATACAGAAAATGCGAATATCGACAGAGTCAGGCAAATGTTAGTGTTCTTGAAAATGAAAATGTTGACTTAAAACATCAGCCAACGTCTGGAAATTAACATCATTTGTTAATTAGTCATGATCTTTACAAAGTATGGCTTTATGCCAAAAAGTGGGTGTGACTTTAAAAAACTGTAAGCATGATTCTTCTGGTAAATACACCACAGCAACATCAAAGTAAATCTTAATTTACCACCAGTCCTATGGTACAAATTTATTAATTTACTTCTGGTAACTTTTGATAAAAAAAAAAAAAAAAAAAAGGTTTGGCATTGCAGATAAAACATAATTCAATAGGAGTTTCAGAATTTAGATATTTTTTCACAGAAATATTAATTATAAATTTCTTTTGCAATATATGACCTACATGTACGTCCATGTATGTTAAATACAAATATATTTTGGGACTGTTTACCATGGAAATCTCGACAACAAATTTTCCTTTAGTAACCGGTCAAAATTTTTATTTGGATGGACCAAAAAAATTATGTAATATTCTAACATTATCTCACTAAACATAAAAAATATTCCTTTATATATATATATTCTCAGGAAGGCAGGCAAGTACATGTAATATTACTTGCAACAAACATATATTTTATAGAACTGTACATCATAGAATGTGTTTGTAAAATAAATACATTTAGATATGGATCATGGATAGTTGAGGTAATTCTTTTTATTTTCGTACTATTCATAGGAAGCATATAAAAAATAATATACTTTTTCTTTTCTTTGGTAGAGTACTATGTAAAATCCAAGAAGTATCCAGGGTCCCATCTTACAAAAGAACTTACGACTAAGACCAAAACTTTAGATGACTGTAAAATTGTTTCAGATCTATCATTTTATTAAAAATTGTTTGCATAAATATATTTTTCAGAATTCTTTTATAAAATAGTAATATCATTTTTCAAATTATTGTAGAGAAGATATTTATTCGCAAAATTATATCTTGCTCTTATAGTCATAAGTTCTTTTGTGAAACGGGCCCCAGTATTGTATGTTGTTCTATGTTCTCTTCAGACTTCTATGAATAAGACTTGAATTTATAGTTACCAGACCCCAAGACAAACCAGGAAAACCCCTTTACGTGTATGTTAATTCTTCACCTTTTTTTGTAGAGGCTGTCAAAGCTATTATATCTTTCTCCACGTCTGCAGAGGAGCTTCTAAATAGACAAAAAATCACCAGAGATGTGCTCTTTAAGCATTTGGTGACAAACAATATCAACCCTTCAGTCAATATAAGAAAACCAGAACTTATTGCTGAGGTACTGAAGCTGTGGAGAAAAGATTTACAGGTATGTCTGTATGGGATTCCAGTGTTCTTTATGCTTACTACTCTTGAAAAAGTAGAGAGTGGGACAAATTACAGATGTTATATAGTATGTTTTATGAAAAAAATCTTTCAAATGAATAACTGTATTGTAGTTGTTTTAAAACTATATTACAAGAGCTTATGCTAGGCAATAGATGCCAATCATAAAGAGTATAATTACATCGTCCATGTATAAAAACACACATAGCAAGTAGAGCAGGAATGATAATGATTTAAAATTGCAATATTATACAGTTGAACTTCAGTATCTCAAACATCAATATCTCATATACCCCATGGATTTGTCACAGTCATTTGGAAGTCTCAACCACTTTTCCTATATATGTGTTTTATCCTGAATATTGATCAGATAGCTCAAAGTTTTTTCTTTGTCCTGTTGAGTTTGAGATAAAGAGGTATGACTGTACATGTCACAATAAAGGGGTAACTCTGTTAATGTAGTGTATACTGTATACAGGAAAATTTTCACCCCCATTTTATTTCGCCCCTTTCACCCTTGTTACAAATGGGCAAATTTAAAACGGATTGAATTCAAAGTAAACAGCATATTTTTTTTAACTAAAAACTCTGCCTGAACAAATTTGAAACAGGGTGCAAGAAACTGAAAGTGTGAAAGGGCAAAAATAATACAGGGTGAAAATAACCCTGTATACAGTATTTGTGCCAAAATTTACAAACATTTAACCAAGAAAACCCATTTCATCCCTTATTTTAAAGGAATGACATAGAAAAGATCTGGTGTAATTCTACATTATGAAAAATTATCTACATGTAAATAAAGGATGATGTGACATATGGCCCCCGGTAAATTGACAAAAAATTAAATATCTAAATTTTACTCTAATTTTTGCATGCACTTAATCACTGATATGTATACCCTCATAAAATACAACTTTTACCGAAAATAGAAACATAATTTGGAAGATATTTTGAGTAGGGGTATCATGTTTACATCCAATTCCCATTGAACTTTGGCCCTGCCCCACTCTTTGAAGCCCTTAAAATATAAGAGCGCAAGTAGGTACATTTTTCTCCTTTGGCTGGTCACTGTCTTTTATTGAAATCTACCTAAACGTGAAAGGAGAAAAATGTACCTAACTGTGCTCGCATGTTGTTTTAAAAAAAATGTAAAATCTAGCTGGCCTTTCCCATTATCAACAGATCGACGAAACTATTTTTTCTGACATAAGAATAAATTCATATGCTAATCACGGCACTGGCGATACTTTCTAACTGACCAATCAGCTAAATGAGTTGCATAACTAGTGAGTACCACAAAAATGATGAAGGACATTTTATGCTTGGAAAAAAGATTGTTTTTTTAACCTGCTTTCCGATAAACATTTTTATGCATTTGAGTCACAGATTAGACACATTTACAAACAATTGATTTATAAATATACATACTATAGTTAAAAGTTTTGTAAAGCGTTCGGTGGGCAATTCGCTAGGTCTGCACGTATTCCCGAGAATCAGTGAATAGAAGTTTCATGTGCATTTCTTGACTCCTAAACGGTAAACACTGTGGTTCCATGCGTATTATTATGTATAAACATGATAAATAGCCTTGGTTGACCATTCAAAGTTTGAAATGTAGTAGAGATATTGTGTAAATTGACCTAAACCACGTGCCCATGATAAAATGTAAACATGTAGTAAACCAGCATGTTTTGTTGTTCTGTCATCGGATTGGACAATTGTTCTCGGTAAGCGACCATGTGTGAAATAACAATAGCCATATAAGGTAGATTCCTCAAACATGCATACCCGTCTATTGTACTAAGACCCACCTATTCTCTTTTCATAAAAGAACGTATTGTCACAAACCAGGCCAAATTTTGCTGTCATAGGGTAAAAAAAAACGTAGATAATGCAGTAATCCTTATAATTAAAATTTGTAGGAACTATTGAAACTATTTAAAAGGCGTTGTATTTATTCACTCCTGTATGAAAACTATCAAAATCGTTGTAGATTAAATATAATTCGTCGTAGAAAAAGGGGCCCCAGATAGCAGTTATGTCACATCATCCTTTATATGCTTGGGATTGAATGAATTGAACAGCCTCATCATATTTTTACATACTTAACCAGTATAGTTGTATCAATGTTCATTTTGTAATATGATGTTATATATGATATAGTGTTAAGTATGAATTATAAAAAAGACATTTCTTATTCTTTCCTTGAATTAAATTTTTACAGGTTCAGACATATGCTCCACAATCTTCCCTTCTACCAACCCAGTCTTCCAGTGTTCAACCCGGTACTAGTCAAGTTCTCAATGCAGTGAAGATTGAATCACATGCAAACACCACATACAGCCCTACAATTAATTATGTCGTACACAACCAGTATAATATGGTGAACGTCAACAGCTCCAGCAGTGCTGGTCCACCAGCTCAGTCTAATCATGAACTTCAGACTCTGGGAGAAACATTTGCCCGCTGGTTCTTTGACGCATTGAACTCTCATAACCCTAGTAGAGGGGTACCTGTTCAGGATTTTGGTCCCCAGCATTTCCTTGATGATGCAGAGCTTTTCCTTCTCAAGCTTGGGGCTGTGGAGAACAGGGAAAAGTGTTCTGGCCACCAGGCTGTGTCTGACCGATTCTTGGGATTTGTAAAGGGAGAGAATTTACTGTTTAATCCTAATTGTGAACATGGTGGTATAATGGTGGATACTAATCCACATGGATTAGTAGTGGTGCTTGTATGTGGAACTATCCATAGAGAAAACCAGTGCCTTGGTATATTTGAACAAATGTTTGGACTGATTAAAGATCCACGCTTTGACAATAATTATAAGATCAAGATTTCAAAGATGAAACTCAGTGCTACCACAGTGTCACAACAACCAAAGCTAACAGACAAATCACCTGAGGAAATTCAAGACTTAGCTGCTGTGCATTAGCTCTATTCTCTGAGCATTTACAATCTTGTCCCTTGATATTACCAATTTTGATACCCTATCCATAGTTTGTGATTGCTGTGCTTCATGTATATGCATTTAAAAGAAAGAGAGATTCTAAACAAAAAAAGTATAGTGATTGAAGTAGAATTGTTGCAATTTAGAAAATAATTGACACATAGAGAAATACTGCATTTTGCAGGTAGGAGAAGTCAAAGGAATGCTGGCCAAAATACATGTATACATACATGTCCCATTGTCGAAGAGAGTTAAATGTTATTTTAATTATTCAGTTTTTGTCATATTATTTATTGACAATTATTAATTTTGCTATTTTATTGAAACATTTATAGAAACATGAATCTGTTATTTTAGGGACATGTATGATTAAACAAATAATTCAAGAAATATATGCTGTAACCTTTTAACTACAGTGCTATGACAATGGCGACATTTCTGCTATGTAGATTAATGATCAAATTACAGTCAAACCTCATTATCTTGAACTCAGTGGGACCAAGAATGACAAAATGCTTTGAAATATCTGAAAGTTCTAGATATTGTGACAAAATTACATAAATAAAAAGTGATTGGGACTCCCAACTCATTTCATCATATCCGTGGTGTTTGAAATATAGATATTCGAGATACTGAAGTTCATATTGTTTAAGATTTAGAAGCAAGACATTCAGTTTGTCATCAATGTTTTTTTTTTCAACTTGTATTCTGTAATTTTATCGCATTTTTTCTGACCATTTTAAACCAAACATGACATCAAACAACTTACCGTGTAGAAACATCTTCCTCTCCCCAATTACTTATCTGCAATTTATCACCTTGCATTGTGAGTTGTCCATATTTAAAAAAAAATTGCTTTTTTTAAATGCAGCAGCAGTTTTTCACCATTTTTGATGTGTATGATCATTTATGAATAATTTTTATTTAACATAATGCCAGCTACCATTGGACCTGAGAGATGGGTCCATTGATCATTCAATCTACGTATGTCTTATTTTTACTCCTGGGGATCTAGCAGGCAAACTGTTTGTGTGACTTTTAGCTCTTCTGGTCAGAGACCAGAAGAGCTTTTGCAATAGTAAGGTGTCCATCTGTCTTACTGTCTGTTGTCTGTAAACAATTTTTCAAAATGCTACTCCTCCCCCAGTTTTTTGTTCGATTTCAATATAGCTTGGCACACAAGTAGACTATATAATTCTGTATATCAGGTTTTTGATTTCAATGAAAAGTGTTGTCATGGTTACTAAAAATAGATCTTTCAAAACACTACTTCTTCTACAGTTTGTCCCATTTTAACATAACTTGGTACACAAGTAAACTACACTAAGTTGCATAATTCTATTTCGGCTTTTGATTTGGAGGAAAAGTGCTGCCATGGTTAGTAAAAATAGAAATTTCTGTGAAATTCTTTCAAAGTGCCACTCTTCCTACATTTTCAGTCCAATTTCAATATAACATGGTACACAAGTAGACTACACTATAATATATAATTCTATTTTTCATTTTTTTATTTCAGTGAACAGTGTTGCCATGATTACTAAAAACAGAAATTTCTGTGAATTTTTTTTAAAATGCTACTCCTCCTACAATTTTAGTTCAATTTCAATATAACTTGGTACACAAGTAGACTACATTAAGATACATAATTCTATTTATTGAATTTTGATTTCAATGAACAGTGTTGCCATGGTTACTGTAAATAGAAATTCTTTTATAATGCTACTCCTCCTACAGTTTCAGTCCGATTTCTGAATAATTTGGACACAAGTAGACTACATTAAGATACATAATTCTGTGAATTGGTTTTGACGTTGAACTGTTGCCATGGTTACTAAAAATAAAATTTTTTGGGAAATTCTTTCAAAATGCTAGTCCTCCTACAGTTTCAGTCCGATTTCAATATAACTTGGTACTACTTTTGTTAAGTAAAAAAACAGTAGAGCTACAGTCTCATCAGAGACCTCTTGTTATGAGCATTTATAGTAACTATGAAGTTCATGACATCTGGTTTCAGGAGAAACTTGTCATAAAATGAAAACACATGTACAATTCGCAATTTCACAATACAATGCCCTGTACAATTTACAATTTCACAATACAATGTCATGTACATCTACCAATTGAAATGATCAACAAGCCCTTAACTTGATTGTGAAATGAAATATGGAGATAATGAAGAGTATTTAAGCTCAAAAGTCCATTTAAACAATACAAATCAGGAACAGAGCAAACACAGACCTCTAAAACATCAGAGATGGGATTAGGTGCCATGGAAAAGTGAGCATCCCCTGCCGATCGGTCACACCCACCGTGTGCTCCTTGTCATGATCGGGGAAAACGGGAAAAATCCGTAGACAATTCAGTGTGTAAATAATGGCTGAACAATTAGCATGAAAAATGTCAGTCAGCATTTGACTTAATGATAGATTGTATTTGCTGACAAAATCATCGTATCGACCATAGAACTTGCGAAATGATGACTTTTAAAGAGACTGTTGATATTCTTGTTCATGTTTCCTTGCTCTATGGTTCATTGCAGATCGTATTAATGCTACATCAGAGACAAAAAAAGAATTATTCGTCGTATAGCGGATTTCTTAAGAGGTGTAAAAATTTGGCTTTTTGGCTTACTCAAAGAGATATGTCCAATACCTTTGGCGGACACGGGGTTCCAAAACGTGCAAAAGAGAGGATGTCCATTTTCCAGATGCGTCTTCTGTACCTTTAGTCGATTTACGCAAGAGTTTGAATAAAAGAAATGATAAAAGATACATGTATGTTTAACAACAGACTGATATTTTTTTCCCATTCAGATTGAGTAATTATATTCGCAAGCTTAAGGGTGAAAATTTAGCTACTGTATTTAAATTTTAGCGGGCTACTACAAATCGTTAAAATAAGCCAAAGTTAGCTCTACTACAATGTATATTGAAAATACATCAAATCTTTAAGAATCTTTGACTGATGGTCATCTAAGTAGGTAAAATGTTTGCATGGTTATAATGGTCTCCTACCTAACTTGCTACAACAACTGTGAAATTTATTTCCACAGGATCAAAGTTTCAAGTATTGGCTTTAGATGGTCATATACTGAAAATATATTACAAGTCTTGAAAAATTTCTTCTATCATGACCATCTAACATGAGCACTATTTGCTTGATTACGATGAGCAGCTAGACCTCTACTAAAAATTATCAAATTCATACTAGTGTTTCCTGGCTACAGTAATAATACCCGCAAGGAGTGGCTAATTATAAGTTGTCGCATATTTAGTGAAAAAGAAACATTTTAGTGTACTTTTAAGGTACAGTTCCTGGTCATAAGTGAGTCATAATTTTATTTTTCCACTATATATTTCATTGAAAAATGCATTTTTCAAAAATATTATTACAGTGATATTTGTTGCTCATTTTTTATGACTAAAACACCATAAAGTCTAAAATTCTTTGCACTTTGTGCACATCATTTCAAAATAATTTTATCTGTAGGTATTGCGCACAAATCAAATGCGACATAAAAATTTTAAGACTCAAATTTTTTTACAAATCAGTAATTTGAGGTTAGAAATTTTTGTATTAATGATTTCATAAATTATTCTCAATGATTGGAATATCATTTTGTTTAACATTTTAAGACAAGAAAAATTGCACAATTTTACATGATTCAGTGAAAAAATCATGGAAATTGGGCTAAAATTGGCCTCAGAAGAAGTTTTTATGAAAATTGGGCTTATATTGTGAAAATGTTGAATTGATCTGTCACATTTCAATTCAGTCTGTTTTGTAACTACTGTTAAAGAAAGAGTTAGGCTTATTATCTGCTTGATAAGTCATACAAGTTTTCAAACTCTTTCACCTTCTTATCCGAGAGATGTTCATCAATCGTTCTACAAGAATATGATGGTTAAATCAAAGTCCAAACATGGCAGCGTTGTGCCTCATTGACAATATGCGATTTTACACACGGACATGGCCATAGTAACTGCTGACAGTTGGTTGTAATAACATCACAAGATAATTCAACTTTGTACTTATTGTCTCGCATGTTTTCAAATGTTTATTCATGTGTAGATAATGTAAATATCACCAATCTAGAACGCCAGTGCAGATTTCAGGTGTGTCGAGGAAGTAGTTTCTTTTTTTTTAATATCGCCTAAATAGATCAAAAATGATCTTGCTGTCACCTGTTCATATCATCGAAGGCTTTAGGAACTAATTTAAGGAGTATGTCAGTATGGAGGAAGATTTTACCACGTGTAACAATCTCTTTGTGACGTCAGTTGTTGTGTCTGGGTTTGTGGAAATCTCGGGTCCTTCTGGAAAGGAGTATATTTTTGTAATTGACGTCACATGGTCGGACAATCGAACTTCAAGTGTGAAAAGGACCTACAGAGATTTTTTGAATTTTCGATCGAATTTGGTGAATGCAGTCAAGCATGTGAAATATGAGGTCACCATACCTGCCTTACAAGGTAATACACACATTATCTGTCTAACTTGATAACACCTATCTATTTATATAATTGATATATAATATGTCAATATGCCATATATATTCAGTAATGCATTTGGTGGATGTTCACATGAATAAATATAGAATCGAAAATTTCAATAAAAAAGAAAGGAGATGGGTGAACATGACGAGCGATAAGCCTATAGTGTGACAAACATGGTGATGAAAAATTAAATTTCAATTATATCAAAATTTTCCTTGATATTTCGTCTAACATTGAAATATACTTTATGTAAAATCTCTGCAATTTGCAAAAATCCCTCAAAGATTGAAATCAATTGCCTGTGAAATATTAGACACACACTAAAGCGGGCAAAAAGAGTCATTTTCTCATACTATAACACTATTTTTCGATATGAGTGGGTCGTCGCTCCACCTTTTTGAAAGTTAATCCTCAAAGTTTGCATAAAAATTCACATTTTTTGGTTACCAAAAATATATAGCAATTCATGACCCGATATACCTTAAAAATATACTTTTATGACATAAAATTCGCATCTTTTCGAGAAATACCATTAAGTCAAGGGTCATATCACAAACATGATTTAAATGCCACTAGTCGTCAGGACTTGTGTAGGCTAGTGCTTAGCGTGCTAGTCTCGAAAGAAAATGATACTCAGGATTTTTATTGCTTAGGGTTCGAACCTCACGAATACCACATTAATTTTTTTAATAAAAGAATAAATTTTGTTGAGAAAATTTTCCTCAGAAAAGTTTTGTTTATTACAATTTCATAAATTTCAATAATGAGAACTTTACTCTAAATATCAAATTCACAAACTGAACATGATTTTTATATTTCTGAAGCTATAGGCTTTCTGCACGCTATGTTCGCCCATTTCCGTTGTTAAAAAGTATATATGTTTTGAAAAAAGGATAATTTTCTTTTTTCTTTCTTCCATTATTTCGAATATAGTTTGACTTAGCAATGAAAAAAATATTATTTGGCTTCAAATTCTTCTCTCATTGTAATGGAATAATTCATCACTATACATGCAAATCAAATTGGAAATTTTTGTTTCATCAGTTTCATTTTATGTTAATCAAATAGTAAAAATACTTTTAATTTGAAATCGATATGGATATAATCGATGGAATTACTGTCCAGCAATAAATCTGAAACTCTATCTAATATGAATCATAACTTGCCAATCCTAAAGAATCTCAGAATTTTTGCTGAAGTCCTTTTGATAACTCTTATGAAAAAGTTCTTACGAAATGCATCCAAAACATGAAACAAAACCATTCTGATGAAGAATTTAGATGGTAAATTATTATATGAAGTAATGAATACACGTATTCTGATTGTATCAGTTTCAAAAAAAAAAAATATAAATGAATTGTTATGCCAACATGCCCTCCAATTCAGATTTCTTCTGTGATTAAGTGAGTACAAGGAAGAGGATAATTACAACGCTCTGGTTCGAACACATTGATAAAGATTAAAATGTTCATTCACTAAATCAGTGCTAGGTAATTAACATAAGAATTATGGCAATCTTTTGACATATCTCGTGAGATTAAGCTCTTCTTTCATACTATTTATCACTGTGTAGTTCATTCAAGCTTTGATGATTACTTTTCTATCTAATACTTTACTGGCTGCTGGCGGACAGTACTCGGGCACTTTTCTTTTTCCCCTTTTCTAAAAATTGTCACAAACTCTTGATTCAAACATTTTCTTCTATTATAATTATTTAAAAAAAACAAACAAACATTTATTCTGCATATGTTCTCTGTTAACGCCGATTGCACATGCATATAATTGGATCATATAGATGAAAAAGAAACAAATTAAAATTGAATAAGGATGTTTGCTTCACAAAATATCTTAGCTGGAGGAGATAGGACACAAGACTAAAATATAATATTTGACATCGATGTGAAAATGTGTTATCAGAGCTCACATGGCATAAAGTAACTGAATTTTACTTCTAATCTTTTTTTTTTTTTTTTTTACAGTTCATAGTTTTTGTTTAATTCTGTGGATGTTTAAAGTGTTTTTGTTTTAAATTGCGAATTTTTGTGGACGATCAAAAGAATTAATACTGTCCAAAATTTGGATCAAGCCTGTATATATATACATATGTCTTTCTAGGCTACAGAATATTTCGCCGATACGATAGGAAACTGGCGGAAGAGCGAGAAGAAGAACTACAAAAATTTGTGTCCTTCATTCTAAAAGGAGATGCAAGGGTAATACTTAATATAGCCACACTCACTATACATACACACAGTCGCATTAGCCTGTAGAGAAAAAAATTACCAAAAACGCTGGGTGGATATTTAGAAAGAAAACAAAATTCTTCTCGTCTTTAGCTTATGAAAAAATATTCATAATGTTTGTTATCTGTACAAGAACTATATTTTTTAAACTGTATCTGCACAAGAATTATGCAAGGATTATCAGTTACAGCAAAATCAGACCGTGAAAAATATATATATATTTCTTTTTATTCCAAACTCTCTGATTGACTCAATCGTGATTACATGATCAAGTATATAACAGCATATAGACTTGTGTTACTATTAAAAGATTCTGAAATGCATAAAGACTTGATGTTTCTAAAAATGGAAATAATCTTCTATAAACCAACAATAGTGCTGATTTCACAATAGGTAATACAGTGTATGACTTGATGTTTCTGAAAAAAAAAAATACTTCAACTCCTAATTATAACTGTGATGTTCTGTAATAAATGGTAAGACGTAACAATGCCTTGAATAAGGATCTACTTTATATTAAAACATATTAGATATGCTTTTTTTTAAATTGATACAAACCATAATAAAACAAATGCAGCCTTTTAAATTAGTTAATTCCCTAAATTACACTATTCAATATAAAGGAAAGACAATTACATTAAACAGCTTAATTTATTTTATCTCTAGTCCCCAAGTGTTGAAAAAGACAAGAGAGAAAACTTGTTCCCATTATTTTCAGATTTTGTTTTGTCAATCTCTTTGAAAAATAATATAACAAATGAAGCCCTTTAATTCGGTCAATCCATAGATATATCGACTTCATAGAAAAGCATATCAACCTCCCACTTCGTCCTCGGTCGATATGCTTTTCTATATATATCTATATATCTATGGATCGACCTTATGAAAGGGCTATATTCATATATGATGCAGCACCAAATTAAATCGGACATTTCTATTCCTTTATAGTTACGACATTTAGCGACTGTTGCGGACTTTTTTGAACCTCAGCCTACAGATCCAGTTCCATATCGAGCCCCACCAGATGGCACCAGTTGTGACTCGGATTCGGAAGACCCATTCGCAGAGAACATCTTTGACAGGAAATGGATGAAACACAAGTGAATCATGGAGACTTGAAGGACTTCTCTTTTAACATTATGAACAATTTTACAAATTATATCCGGTTTTTGCAAGAAGTGAATCACTTGACTAAGTAACAGATGCTTTGCTAATACAATAATAAGGCCTTTTGAGATACAAAACTGAAAACATAGTCAGGCTTGAAAAGCAAACTGTGAAGCTATTTAACGCGCAGTCATTTTCATTTCTTAAGAGATTTTTTTGTATGTCAAAAGTATCTATCAATGTTAAGAAAATATACACTGTATCAAATACTCGTACATTCACCAGTTGTATACTTACTTTTTAAAGCATTTACACCTTATTAACTTTTTTCATCTTTTTTTTCCCCTTTGGTTTTGTTTTCCAAAAACAGTCAATAGTCATGTATACAGCTCGAAAAACTTTAAACCTAATATGCTTTGAGAACAAACTATATAGTTTACATGTATTCATCTTGGAAAAATGTTTTGCCTCTAAAAGAGACGCAAACAGAAAATTTGATAAATTTTGCAATTTCATAATAATTTTTACGTTCATAATTGATATTTTACCTTCTTAGTAAAAAGATTGAAAACTTTTTTTTTTAACCAAAGAAATTTTTTAAAATTGATTTTTATTGATTAAAAGCAAAGGGGGATTACTCTTCAAGGACAGGACAAGGTCATAAATAAGGGCACGTTCAGCTGTTACATACACCTACTAAAACATGAAAATTATGTCTAAATATACTAAGCATACAGTCGATACATATATACATGTTATGCATTCAATTTCATTGAATCGGAGGCTATCATGGGTCCTATACCTTAAGTGCGACTAAGTATGGTTTGAATTAAGTTTTCACAGAACTTTTTTTTTTCAAGTAAGTACCATACATGTCTTTCACAAATCTTGTTTTTGGTGGTTGGTATGCTGTGACCTGATATCGCATTTACTTGTATCAGAATGTTTTAAAGTTTAAATCAACTTAGACCCATAGCTCCCTTTAGCTTTCTATGAAGGAAGTTCTTCAAAATCATATGTCAGTTTTAAATATTTTTAGTCAAAATGAATTTGAATTACCACACCGGTACCTGTACTGGGATTCCTAAACTTCATTAAAATCCTTACAAATAAAGATACTTAGCAGGTTCCAGTAAATGTTCTACCAAATTTAAACCTCTTTCTTTACTCCTCACAAAATTATTTACAGATAGAAAGAAGATTGTTCAGGAGTACAGTACAACAGTATTTTCGAGAAATGGTGTAAATAAGATGTTTATGCCTAAAACTCGAAGGAACTTTTAGAAAATTTGAAATCACAGAATTTTACCAAAATCAGTAACATCAAAGCTTACGACTTTTCAACACGCCTTACAAGAATTCTTACAAACAAAGATACATAGCGGGTTACAGTAAATGTTCTACGAAGCCTATTTCTTTACTCCTCACTAAATTATTTACAGCAGTGAAGGAGAAACTTCAAGAGTATTGTACAACAGTATATTGGAGAAGTGGTTTAAATTAAATGTGGATTCCTAAACACTCCAAGGAACATATTAAAGAAAATTTGAAATAACAAAAAATTACCAAAATCAGTAACATCTTTTACAACTATTCCCAACGATAAATTAAAGTCCAGGCTTTTTGACATCATAGACAACTACTTTTTCAATAAAAATGGAACTCGTAAATATACTTACCTTGTCATAGGCCATTCGCAAAATTCTTTTGTTAAAAACATTCAGATTGTACGCACGACTACTCTGAAGTTGTATTACAATCTGATTGACAATATCTATGCCGTTTTCGGAGATCAGGTCTTCCAAAAACTGTTGGAATTCCCATGGGTTCAAATTGCGCCTCGATATAAGCAGACGTATTTTGTATTCATATGAAGCAGAATGTATTCAGAAACTTCTACATAAGAAGAAAACACTTGCTGTGGCCTTCAACTCGATATTTAGATATATCGACGACGTATTATCAATTAACAATATATAAGTTACTTCCATTCATATGTCGATTCAATATATCCCAGTGAACTTGAAATAGAAGACACCACAGAGTCTGAAACATCTGCTTCATATTTGTATATTTTAGTAGGAAAAGACGTTAATGGAAACTTAATAACAAAACTTGATGATAAGCGTGATGATTTCAACTTTTGACTCGTCAACTTCCCTTACTTATGTAGCAATATTCCCTTATCACCTGCATATGGAGTTTATGTCTCCCAGTTGATTCAATACGCATGCTTACGCTTAATTTTTGAAAAAGTTGCAAGCTATTAACCAACATGTTGACGAAAGAAGAATATCAACAGTCTTTTTAAAGTCATCATTTGGCAACTTCTATTGTCGATACAATGACTTTGCCAGCAAATACAATCTATCATTAAGACGAATGCTGACTGACGTTTTTCCTACTAATTGTTAAATCACTATTTAAACACTGAATTTTCTACGGATTTTTCCGTTTGCCCGGTCATGAAAATGAGTACACAGGGGATGCTTACTCCTCCATGGCACCTGATCCCACCTCTGATTTTTTTTAGAGGTTCGTGTTTGCTCTGCTCCCGGTTTGAATTGTTTGAATGGACTTTTGAGCTTGAATACTGTTCGTTAACTCCACATATTTCCTAGTCACAGAAGTGTAGAAACTAGATCGAGAAAATATCTTGTTTTGAGAGGAAGATACTGAAAGCTCTTAGTAAAGCGTATGCTTGTTAAGTATTTCTTACAAAACGATTTGTATTTTTCGTAAAATTTAATGCTATTTGTAATAGCACCCTGTCATAACTCAAAGAACACAAGAGAGGTTTTTCTTCCAAAACGTAATAATAGTTGTACAATTTAAATGCTGGAAAATAGTCTTGATCAAAAGCTGCTGAAATCATTTGGGGTTCGACCCACTCTCAAACAATACCAACAGCTTGAAACATATGTGGAATGTAAGAAAGGGAGCTATACTATGTACTGGAAAATAAAGTATCATCCATATATAGAGCAAAAACTTTTTAACGTGAAATGATTTTGTGAACTAATTAAATGAACATTTTGAAAATAAATATATTGTTTTTATACTTGACAATGGCGCAATGCAAAACATATGATAAATTATGCAATTTTCTTAATTTTTTTATATTCATAATTGATAATTAACTTTGTCGTTCTTTTTTTAATTATCAATTTTTGCACGAAAAACAGCTTAAATACAATAAAGCATGTTATAAAATATGTCCTCTTAGAGATTTATTTTGGAATTAGCACCGTTTTAGCCAGAGTGTCGTTCACATATCTTTTAATTTATAAGTTGTTGCATGTGTTGAGTAAGGCTTGATCTTTTTTTTATTTGTCCTCAGATGTTTTTTGTGTTTGAAGCAGGACTGTTCCTGGGTAACGACAGTGTAAAAAAGCTACATATCGTCTGAGAAACTCTCCCGTGCTTTTTGAGTTATGGCATGAAGCTAAATAAGACATAGGAATCGGTTTCATAAGTTGAATCTAATTTCAGAGGTGTTGTGTACTAATATATAAGTTGCATTCAAGTTTGTTTGACTAATTATTAATATTTAAAAATAAAATGTGAATGTTCTGAAAAGAAACTCGTCAAATTTAATATCTATTCAAAATAACAGTTAAATAAATTTATAAAAATAAATGAAAGTACAATGTCATTGTGGTATATTAGAATAAGCAAAAATATATTTCTTTTTATGTTCACACGACGTATCATGTCGTTCACACGTCTAGATAGTTTTTCTGTACTTCTTTTAACGATAGTGCACTAAACTAATTAACAAAAGTATGGGTATTGGTAGTTGATTTTAGAATCTGCATTAAAAAAAGATCAGAAAAAATGAATCACATGATACAATACTATGTTTTTCGATCAAGATAAGTTGAGCAAACGAGATAATAAAACTTGTGATTGAGATAATAAGTCGTGCGAACGAGATTTATTTAATTAATTTATTCAAATAACATTTGAATGTCCTAAACATAGCACTAGAGTACATTGACAATATTGAACCCTAAATATGCATTAGAGGGGATAAGAATACAATAATGCAATTTACTCTCTTGAGCTGTTTAACCATGGAAAAGATATATACAGATACATTTTTATTAAACAATTAATACATTCTAAATTGTTGAGCAAGTTTAATGCAGAAAAGAAAAAAATCGATGCTGTTTGTAGAAATCAAAGAACAATTTGAAATTGAAAAAAAAAATCATAATCCAAATCTTGCGAAAACTAAAATTCCAATTTACAGCTGTCATATCTCTATATCATTTCTAAGTAAAAATTCAGATGCTGCTTTAAGAGTTGGACTCAGACAGCCGAAGTATCATAGAAGATGTAATGTTCAAACAGAGAACGTTAATATTTTCCATTCTGCTATAATTTCGCAAGGCAGCACACCGGGTGGGCAGTTTGTCTCATTAAGACGGTTTTCACAATATTTGTTCTTTTTACTGGCATCCTATGTGTGTATGGTATTGGAAAGAGTATAAAACACCCCATTGTTTGACTGCAAAGTAATAATGTTTGCCGCTGTTACAGTTGTTTACAATATGATACATGTATGGAAATGGGGAACTTCTTATATCAGCTATAATTCGTAATGATATTATACAGGATGGTTAGCATTTTTATTTTTGTTTTTATTTTCTTTTTGACGTGATAATACGCTTTTATTGGACAAGGCATAAATAAGTTTATCCCAAAATAACACGTCATCTGTCTTCAAGTACGTTAGAATTTTCATGCATTTGTTCAGATCGTTATCTATTTCCGACCAAGTAATGTCTCCTAATAGAATAAGGATCAAGTGCTTTTTTCTTTCGAGTAGAGTCTGATGAAATGCTGTTCTAAACTCCATTAAACACCATTCACTGCTCAGGAAGTGGTCGGAGATTACGAGTATTGTGTGCCTACTGCTCTCCACACTATTAATAATATTTGTAGCAATTGGGACTCCCACTCCGAAGTCTCGATGGTGAAGACAAAGGCTAAAGGTTATTCCAATAGAAGTGTTCTCATTTTCCAGTTGTTTGACTAAGGTTTGCATGACCCAGTCCGTATCCAATTCACTATAGGCCACGAAGGCATCATACTTCTTGTTACTGACATCCTCGTTAAGCTGACATGGGAAAGTTATTTGGAATCTAGTAAAAGCAATGATGAGTATTTCGGTCCGATATTTAATAATTATTAGAATCAAAATAAATATCATAGTCACCGTAACACAAGGAATAACAACAGCCTCTATATGATGAACGGGTATAAAAACTTCACATCCCATCTCCAGACTTGTTAAGGAGTAGATATTTCTGT